CCTCTGTTTTCAAAATTTAATACATTCTTATTCAGTGTAAATTTACACTTAATTCTGAACACCTGGTCTGTTTGAGCGTCTATTGTTGCAACTGGGTTTGGGCCGTTAATGAGACAATCTCTTCTCACTAGGTCGAATGTCTTCGTTTCGCTGTGTCAACCTTGTATAGACCTGGATTTAAGCTAAGTGGGTCTCGGCGGCCGGGTACTTATCAAGCTTGTTAATTCTTCACATCAAATTGAAATTTAAATGTTCAATGCCGTAATTTAATAATCAACAACCCCTTGTTTAATTTTCGTGTAGAAGCCACGAGCTGTGGGGATTACGTCTTCCACCGACTGAAGTTAAAGCAACTATTTATTCTTCGCACCTTTAATAGTATACATTACCAATTATATTCCGAATCTAAGAAACAGGAATTGTCGATCTTTATCGAGAAATATTTAACTTGGAAATTGTTAATCATTCAGTAAATGTTTACTATTAAATCCATAGAAGAGAGGACCACACAAAAACTCGCCCCAAAGACCACTTCAGCCAACAGCCTGGCTTTCATTATGGTTATTGATAGACGTACATGTGTGGAATTTCTGTGTGTCGGCTCCTTATAAGTATATCTTCACTGAGATTTGAATATCTTCATTCAATGAATCCACATTTACATCGAAATTTGAGAATCTTATCAAGCATTATTAAGGCTTTTAATTTCTCGGATAAGATGCAAGCCTAGTATATATTTCCTTTAAACGTACTTGTGGAAAACCACAAATACCTGTATTTGACGAAATTACATTTGTATTTTAGATTTAAATACAATTAAACATATCTGTAGGCAGAATTCAGATAATAACGTGTATTTGTGGTTATAAAGAAGCATAAAGTTTCTAAACAATTGAAATGAATTTATACGTCTACACCTACTTTTAAAAAATATCATTTTAAAGAACAATAAGACATTGAAATTTCCTGATAGTGGGCCATTATTCGAGTGATGGAAGTCAGGAAAGAATGGACCATATCTTGTACTCTGGGTTATTTCGTTCTTATCCAATATACATTAATGTAAATGAAGATTTTCCTTTATTCTCTGTTTAAACTATGTAACTACTGATTGACAAAAAATTAAAATTAAATCATTTTCACTAAACATCTTAAAATTCTTTCCAGTTCAAAATATTCTCTCTCTTAAAACAACTTTGAATAATATTATGTTTCATAATGACCTATCACTTTTTGGGTCATATCCCTTGTTGAAATGAAATAACAATCCCTCATGGCTCAATTACCGTTTATGCTAAATTTATAGCCTTCCACTTTCCTCCTTCAATGATTAGCGTAACATTATGAACGTAATCAAACAAAATTCACCAGAAGACAAAAATTAAAATCGCCAATTGCCAAAGAATTACATTGTAGCAAATTGACCATTGTTCCCCAAAGTTAAATTTTGTGTCGATATATCATTTCGCGAATTAGCAAAATATGGATTCTCCTGAAATTGTTGAGATCTCTCAGTATTTGTTTTACATCACCTCGGGAAATAAGTCTGATCTTGGGGAATCCAAATCTGCCTTACTGCCTCAGTGATATGCACATTACATGTACCTGTATAATAATATCAATGGATGTATAATTGTTAAGGGCATTGACAGACAACTTGCAATAATTGAATCCAAACTTTTGTTCCGTTAATTACTTGGTGCTTTTTAATGACGAAACATGCCATATATTTGAAATATGTTTTATATTATTACAATGTATTAAATTCACTAAATTGGCAAGGAAATTAAAATATCATATATATCAGATATATCAAATTTTCTAAAAGATTATTACTTCAATTCATATCGGTGATTTGTTAATAAAAATAAAATATTTCGGTACAATTTACTCCAAAGGACCTATAAACCAATGAAGAATTTATTTTAAAATTTATGATGATAATATCTGTTCTGTATCTTTTGCACGTCCATGACGATAGTGTATATAAATTGTCAAGTTCAAAGATGTAAATTTTCACGTATCTGATGCGTTTACCAGCACTTTGGTATATATAAATTTGTGTATTTCAGAGTCAAAAAATTACTACATGTTGTTATTTCTCAGTCAATAGATAAAATATAATCCATGTTCAAATAATAAATATTGCTTATCACATTGTGTTACGACGGTTCATAGACAAGACTTGAAGGTGACCACCTCGAAGTTTAGTTTGTCAGAAATGTTTCACCTGGGGAATTCAAAAATTTGGAATGTAGATATACCTGTTAGGAAGAAAGTCTACATTGTAATTTATAACGTTCTTTTAAAAAGTAACTGGGCGCGCACTCTTATGCGTGGACCGCCTTACATCATTTATACTGTACAACGTCTTTGATAATACCGGTATTACTACGCTGGTCGCAAAGAGTTCCTTCAGCATCGTGGTTTCTATCTATGAAAAAAAAATCACTTAAACTTTTAATAAAAAGGACCCATACCAATTCATTGAATAAACATGAAAACTGTTAAGAATAGAAATTAATTTAGTGAATAATTTATTTCTATCAGATAGAAATGAAAACTGTTTGATCGCGATATGGTTACAGGGATTTGAACGGGGAGCATTTCATTTATGACATGGGTTATTGAAAGACTGATGCAATAAAAACCTATAAATTTACATTCTCCCATTTTTTAAATATTTATGTGTCTATCCACGTACGTTAGGATGGTAAATAAGACGACTGTAGAAAAAGACGAGACCATGAAAGAATTTTTTTCTTCAAAATCAACACCAAAAAGTCTGTCACAAAAAATATTTTCTACGCTTGAACTGTCCATATTTTATCAAGAAATATTTATTAAACTATCCATGGCTATAAAAGAAGGGAGAAATCCTCCACACATAGCATCCTTTGTTGTTGTTTAATTATATCCTTTGAGTTTCTTTACCGTAAAATCAATACCCATATTTCACATAGTTTTGGTTGAAACTAGAACCCCTGCATGGGGATACAGAAGTGTACAGATGTATAAAAGTATTTATCATTGCATATTATCTATAGATAAATCATACAATAATTTGATACATTCAAAGCTGAGGCGATCTGCGAGTCCGAATTGCTCTAAAAATGAGGGACACCTGTTGTTACCCAGGTCGATTTTTCTGTACTTTATTTCACCTGGCACGCTAAGTCCGTATTTCTGATTTGCAGACAATAATTGCAGTCTTACAAACTGCATTTTAACCGCATAATTGTAGTTCAGATAATGATAAGCCAGCTTTAACATCATTATTGTACCTGTGCGAACTAATTTTAAAGGGGCATGAGTGGTATTAAAACGAACATCATGTAGAACAATTTTCCTTTAAACAATTCTCTTTTCAAATTAAGTTTAAGTTTTTCCAGTTAAATATTTAATTAAATAACTTGACTCTTTATTGAAAATCAAAAATGATATATTAAAACTTCTAAAAATAAGAAAAAAGTGTATTGCAATCGATGGTTTAAAAAATGCCGGAAAAGAAGAGTTTTTCCCTTGTTTTTGATATGATTGCCAGTTCAAAGATTGCGAGAAGGGTATCGTAAGCGACTGTCTGGATAAAACAATGGAGTCTGTTTGGCAAAGATTAGCAATTTGCAACAGCACATGGAGCTGTTTGGTTCCTGTGTTTTCATTCAGGCAACACAACATCTACCTCATTATCAGCGCCATTCTTACACGTAGTAATACATGGCACCACGAACACACTGAAAACTGATCATTTTCTCCTGCTACCGGTTCCATGTCACTGTAACTGAAGAGCTGTAAGTTACAGATAGACAAACTTTATTATCAACTGATCTGTAGACTTTGACATTTGATAAGTTGTTGTTTTCCGCAAACTTTGTATAGGAGACTAGGAGTGACGATTTGCTGTCAGAAGAGTGCAATCTGAAGTACGTTTTTTGATGAAAAAAGAATTCTGTCGCAGGTGCAGTAAATAAAATCATGCTATTCTTCAGAACCGAAACGGTCGTTAAACGGCATAGATCCTGAACGTTGCGAAATATGCATATGCTTATTAAAAACAAAGGGTTCTTATTTTTTTGCATCTTCAACACTAATGAGCACTTTGAAAGCCTCTCACTTCTGAAGTGTTAGAAAAAGGCTTCACTGTTCAAAGATTAATGCCTGACTGAGTGTTTATGTTATGTAATATTCCAGAAATCAAAAGCATTCTATGTACTAAACTTATGCTTTACTAATGTAGACAAATATTCAAAAGAACGAAGTGTATTTTTAGGACGGAAAAAGGTAACAGTAAACTGTGAATGACTTTTCGATAGATGAAATAACGAATGTTAACAAAAGTAATTACATTTATTTTTATCTATTATGTAGGTGTCATTACAATTATGAATGGAACGGATGTTTGAAATTTTGTTGAGATAGGGATTACGGGATTTGCCGTGTAGTTTGTTTTGTTGAAAACTGGGAACACCCTACAATTTACGGAATCATTTACGACTTCTGTGGAAATAACCTACTGAATTTCGTCCTCTATATATTGTAATATCAGAAAATTTATAGCCGTGGGCTTTCATGGTCACCCGAGTATCCTTCCTTTCAGACAAACTACCGATGTTCTCCACCTTTATATCATAAACGAGCTTTTCTTGTTTCTCTATAAACAGACTTGGTCCAGATTCGAATCCTATACTGTGTTCTTAATATTTTTTGTCGAGGTACAGGGAAATACACTTTAGAAATGCTAGGGAGGAACGCTTTAGTTTTCATAAACCTTTCGAAATAACATAAGTTAAAGTTTTACTCAAAAAGAACTAAAAAAAATCATTTTGCTGAAAGCAATAATTCATCAAACGCGCGTTTGCTGCAACTGTACATCTGTGTTACTGCATTATCTTTCTATGTGACTTATAAACTGTTTTATATCATTACAAAGACACCAATTATACCACTATTTTGAAATCTAGCATTCACATGTATGAAATAACTTCCCTATTTCTTTACAGATGTTTGACTGCTCATTCCAACCCAATACCGTTCAGTACATACACAGTGGATCACCTTTACTAAATAGTGACAAAGTTAAATTACGTGTTTATAAATTCACCAATAACTCCACGACTTCCCAAACTTTCCATTTGGATGTTCAAATTGCCAACAAGTCCCATGATATCGTGGTAACACGAGGCTTGCGCCCCATTGTTGTTCCAGAATTCAACGGGTTATCCAATCTAATTGATTCATCTGTGATACGATTTTACTTTAGTGGTAAGAACAATGTCTCTTGTACTGTTGGTTTTTCCACATATCGGTCACTTTGGCCAATCGCTGGACAGATCGTTGTGGGAGAGAGAAAGACTAGGGTTGAAACAATGAGGAAATCCTGTCGAGACTTCCTGTATAGTAAATTATATTACCAGCATGTGCAGTCTCCAAATCCTGACGTGGATTATCTTCCTTTGACAATCGAGCTGAAAGACCCCGACGTCAGTGATGACGTTTCTATTGAACGTTTCTACCTCCCCATTCACATTAAGGGTGCTCTACCCAACTCACCCCCGAGATCATCCTTTTTGAGCATATACATGATGGATGTAAACCAGTTCGTGCTTTCAACACTTCTGCCTGGTGTTATATCGGCTGAGGATTATGAAACGGACTCCAAGGATTTGGTTTACAATATAACCAGTCTGCCAGGTGGCAATGGTGGGTATTTCGTACATTTAGACGATCACACAATCCCCATAGACTCTTTCGTACAAGATGACCTTGAACATCACAGAATTGCCTATCAACCTCCGAGTACAAGTCTGTCAGAACGCCGTGTCTTCCAAGCACAATTTACAGTTTCCGACAGCCATTTTGCATCAAGTCTACCGATTGTACTACACATTGCAGTTCGTCCGTCTGCTACAAATGCACCAAGAATAGCGACTAACAAAGGTCTTGTTCTCCTTGAAGGTCAATCAAGGCCGATAACAATTGCTGAACTAAATATACTGGACCCTGATAATGCAAATTCTGTTAGTCTTTACGTACTTGGTGGCCTTAGATATGGTCAACTAATGAAAAACAAAAGATCTACAATTGCAATGACCCTAGAAGATCTTCGTAAAGGTCGAATATCCTACCAACACGATGACAGCGAGTCAACAAAAGATCACATCAAATTCCGAATCAGTGATGGAGTGAACACAATTATGATTACTTTCCCCATCATAATAATTCCAAAGGATGATTCGGCGCCATACCTTGTGAACAGTATTGGGTTAGAGGTCAATGAAGGAGAGACAAGAAGGATATCCACTAACATGCTTCTTGCACATGACACAGATTCCCTTGATGATAATATAATGTATATTATTACACAACCTCCATCAGCTGGGGAAATAATAAAGAAAACATCACAGGGAGATACCGGGACGCGTATTAGTAAGTTTAACCAAAGAAACATTAAAAAGGGACAGATTTTCTACAGACATTTTGGGAATGAAGTTTTTAAAGATTCATTTGTATTTAAGCTCCGAGATCACCAAGACCCTCCTAATAAATCGGAAGACGAAACATTCCATATCATCATAAACCCTGTATACGAAAATCCACCACAGTTGGCACCTAAAGCAACAAGACTAGTCCACGTACCAGAAACTGATATAACGTATATAACGAAAGATGAACTCCAATACACAGACATTGAAACAGACGACAATAAGTTAACGTACATAATTACATCTCCACCATATTTCGTTTACAATGCCGGGTTTGAGGAAGCTGGAAGAATTATCGCTACTCACAATTTTTCATCAGTTACAAAGAATGACTCAATTCCTGCTATATCTACTTTTAAACAGGAGGACATCAACCACATGAAAATTGCTTACATGCCACCATTAGCCGACATAGGTCCCGAATCACGCCTTGTAAGGTTTGTCTACACAGTGCAAGATTCAAGTGGAAATCAGGTTCTTGGACAGTATTTTGAAATAGACGTTCAACCAGTCAATGATAAACCTCCTTCTTTGCTAGTAAGTAAACTGCTGGTAGAGGAAGGAGGCATTCTTGGGATTTCTAATCTTCAGTTATCAGCTTTAGATGAAGACACACTTCTTGAAGATCTTGTCTTCATTCTAGATGAGACTCCAAAGTATGGTGTCGTCCAGAAAAATGGTATGGCTCTAGCACAGAAAGGCGAGTTCAAGATTGACGATCTGAGGCGAAACGACATAAGGTATAACGATTTTTTTCATGTTCATAAGTCGTTTAATACATTTAGTAAGTATAACAATCAAATTACAATTTATTACCCTGACTACATAACTTGAATTCTTCTTGTAGGTACGTACACGATGGCGCAGAAGTGCTTTTAGATTCGATCACTCTTACTGTCAGTGATGGAGTAAACAGAGCGACAAAGGTTGTACCGATAGATATAGTTCCAATAGACGATAAAGCCCCTTTACTAAAAAGCAATCTTCGACCGCGTCTTATTGTATCAGAAGGTGGTGATGCAATTGTAACGTCATCAGTTTTGGCGGCAACTGATGACGACACGGATGATAGCCAACTAATATTCTTAATAGTGAAGCAGCCTAAGTATGGAATCATGCAACTAGTGGATCAGCCGGTGACAAAATTTACCCAAAAAGATGTCAATGGCAACAAAGTTAAGTACATTCATACAGGGGGCGAAGTTGGAAACAACATATTACGAGACACGGTAACTTTTATTGTCTCTGATCAGAACTTCATGGCGACGGGTGATTTGCCTGTATACGATCTGAATATTACAATTACTCCTGTGGACAACTCGAAACCAGCCATCATTAAAGGACTGGAGTTGGTAGTTAACGAAGGTGGATCAGTCACTTTGACACCCGATGCTGTTACTGCCAAAGATCCTGACACTGATCCCGAAGAGATAAGTTTCGTCATCACAAAACAACCACAATGGGGATACCTTGAAAATTCAAAACCATTGAAAGGGTCTCAAAAGTCAAGATCGGGAATTCGAATTACAACATTCAAACTCCAAGATATTATTGATAAAACAATCAACTACGTTCAAGCCAATCATAAAGGAGTGGAACCAATTTATGACGAGGTTGAATTTTATGCAACTGATGGGAAACAGAGGTCTGATGACGTACCACTTGGTTTCAGAATAACGCCACAAAATGATGAAGAACCTGATGTTATGCTTCAGGACTTTTCGGTAGATGAAGGATCTTTCAAGATTATCGACCAGATCATTGTGGATGCAATTGATATGGATGTTCCAAAAGAACAGTTGACGTTATCCATTTCTCAAGCACCAGATCATGGTGATATCGTTTTAATGATACAGACCAAGAACGGAGATATGGAAGTTGCAGTTCATGATTTCACAGTTGAGGAACTTCACAAAGGCATGAGGCTCAAGTACAAACACGACAATAGTGAACACTTTAGAGACAAATTTGCTTTAACAGTATCCGATGGAAGACACGAAGTTAAAAAGCTTTGCAATATTTCGATTAGAGCTTTGAATGATGAAGGACCAGAAATTACAAAGAACGCTGGACTGCAGTTAGAATATGGAGACTTTGCGATGATATCGAGCGCATCACTACAATCCTCTGATCCAGACAACAGCGATAATGAAGTGATATACATTTTGATGTCTGTTCCAAAGAAAGGTTCACTGCAATTTTGCACAGATCCATTTTCACCAACACGTATCTCGGAATGCAGGGATATGATGGTCGGTCAAAACTTTACCCAACATGACGTGGACATGAACAGAGTGCGATACATCCACACGACAAGTATGGGCAATACAGAGACAGATAGTTTTCTGTTTTTGTTGACGGATGGAACCAACAGACGACATGTAGAAACATTTGAAATCAGAATAAGAAATTCAAAGAAAAGCAACTTGGCAGTTTTCAATAAAGGGTTACAAGTCAGAGAAGGGGAAAGAACCTCAATTTCCACAAATAACTTAAGCGCATCTGATGAAAGCACAAAGGCTGATGAAATAGTTTTTGCAATAACACAAAGACCAAGATTGGGACAAATTGAATTCATCGATAGACACCTCACAAGTATAAATAGCTTCACACAGTTAGATTTAGCTTCCCGAAAGGTTGTATATAATAATTTAAACAAAGGCGATAACACAGAGGACGTATTCAAGTTCACCGTAACCAACGGACTAAGCCAAGCCAAAGATGGCGAATTTAGGATAACAATCGAACCTCTTGACCGTGTCCTTCCTTCACTCAGGGTGAACAGTCTAATTGAAGTAACACAAGGAGGTGAGGTTGAGTTATCTCCCTTGTTGCTTAAAGCCCAAGATCCCGACACTGCCAGCACGAACGTAACATTCATTATCGCTAAACCACCGACATACGGCCGTCTGTATAACAGAGGAATCGTTATTACCAGGTCCTTTACTCAGAGCGATATCAATTTTGGGTTCATTACTTACGAAACAGATGGATCTCATGCCGGTTTGGACAACTTCCTTTTCAACATATCTGATGGTAAACACGCGGGTTTCTTGGTGAATGGAACACTTCAGACAAAGCCTGTTATCTGCAGCATCTTTATCAAACCTCTTGTCAACGATGCTCCAAAATTACTCATTCTGAAACAGCCGGACACATTAGAATTCTTTGGGAACGACCGTTACGGTTTCCGAATAACCAACAGAAACCTAAAAGCTATCGACTCCGATTCAACCAGTTCCCAGTTAACATACAACATGATTAAGAAGCCACAATATGGTCATGTTGAGAATGTCAAAACAAAAAGATACGTAAGGCGAAGGTTCACGCAGAAGGACGTGGACGAGAGTAGTCTTCACTATATAGTCAACCAGAGGAAAGCACACACCAATGACAGCTTTACCTTCAGTGTGACGGACAGCAGGGGAAACATTCTTAACAATCAGAGGTAAGTTTTAGGATTCTAATTAAGTGAATGAATGCATTTGTTCTTAAAATTTTCAAAAATTATCAAATTCTCGAAGGTCGTGAAAAAATGTGATAAAACTCATAATGCATCTAAGCTTTGGATTGAATGTCTTTTGTAAATGGAATATCTTTTTTGGATTTTTCAGGTTCGAAATGAAGTGGTCGAGGATTGAATTCTTAAGAAAACAGATAATATCATGCGAAGATATAGGTACACTCACAATTACTTTGAAACGGACTGGTGACTTGCAACAAATCTCTTTTGTTGGAATTAAGATAAGGGATATGTCTGCAAAAAGTGGACTCGACTTCTTCCCAAGCTCGGCCAAACAAGTCCAGTTCAATCCAGGTAGGGATAGAATTTTTTTAGTATTTTGCATCATTTGAAATGCTTAACGTTCATTTATTGTAACAAATATATAAATTACATTTCAAATGCATGTCATTTCAGGAATGAACCAAGCCACGTGGGACATAAGAATAGCTGCAGATAGTTTAATGGAGAATAGCGAGAAATTCCAAATCTACTTGGAAGAACCTATCAACGCTGTACTTGGAAGAAGAACTAAAATGAACATTCATTTAATCAATGCAGAAAACGGTAAACAAAATATTAATAAGGTTTATACCAATTCTAGAGATCAACAGGCTCGTTGAATAACAGACTAATAGAACTTAAATTGCCTCCATTTTACAAAGTCTAACTAAGTCAATCTGTCAAATTGAAATTCTAGTTGAATATTACAAATAAGCTTTTAGAAAACTTCGACAGAACCAGTCTCATTTATTAGTTTGTTTTATTTTGATTGTTTATTTATTGGCTGTTTTGCTTTATTTGTTTTCCTGTTTTTTATATTAACTACTGGGTATTCATCTTTTGGGTTTAGGTGAATGTCCACAATACCTTGGGATGATCAGCAAAAACAATAAAGATGTGGTTGACCTTGAAGAGACAATAACACCCATTTCTAATAAAAAGATAGATACAAAATTATCCGTAAGTATCTGTCATTACTCAACCATTAACTGATGAAAATCATTGATGGTAGAAGAACTGATCATTGCAATTAAAATAAGGGGAATTTTTTTTCTTTTGCACTGAATCCATACGATTTAATAAACTGTCCTTCCATGAATTTAACTAAGCCAAACTTTTACAGTGTACTTTATATAGTGCAGAATGACATTATGTATAGCCTATAGGAAAGTTCATATTGTATTTCAAAGTCAATTTTTCAGAATTTGATGTGTAAAAGATGATATAAATTATAGAATAAAAAGAGGATTGTCCTCGCCTTGTACGCCTCCATTTTTTAACTAAGCCAATGATACAGGCTTAATTGTATAAGAAAGTTTATATTGTATTTCAAAGTTAATTATTTCAGTATTATACATAAAGAATGCAAGACTTCTAGCTTAATTGACAGATTTGTGTGCTCCTACTTTACAGTTCAATACCTTTTCGGGGCTTGGAACAATCAAAGAAAATCCCCTGGATAACGCCTACAACACTGATCCCGACTCAACACCGTCCAAATCATCTCTTTCATCATCAAAAAAATCAAAGACAATCAAAAATTCCGAATTAAATGAAGTATTACCAACTAAAAGAAAACAAAAGAAAAGAAAGAGAAAAGGTCGAAAGCGGAAGAAGAAAAGGAACGGAAAGATCAAGAAGTCCAATTCACTGAGTCAGAAAGCGGATTCCATATTTCCTCTGTCATCTTCGTCTCTAAGAATTCAGGTAAGATGGCAGAAGACATCAAACATTCCTACTCGCGTGTATTGGATTAATATAGCATGTCATTAATTCTGGACGGATTTAAATTGTCCTCATTAACTAGTTTTCTGCTTATTACGGCTACAACACAGTTATGACTCGTGCTTACTCATGATTTATGATCTGAGCTTTTTGTATATGTTTTAAAATTATTGTTAACCATGCATTTTCTTTTTTTTAGGCTCCACAAAATTGTACCAGAACAACAAAAAATCTGTTACATTTTGATTCGTTTACACAAAGAATGTATAAATGTGACGGTTATATTTGGAGGGTGTGGGATTCTGGGAGCCCTGATGAGTCTGCAATCAGTTCTATCCCTGCCCCTTCTGTCTGTCTCATTGGTAAGGAACAAAACATTCTTTTTCCGGGCTCAGGCGACTATCTGCTCTCTAACATAGATCATTTTGTTTCATAAATGATTATTTTTAACAGCATATTGATCGAAATAAAAATGAAATTTGGTTTATCAAACGAGACCATTTTTAGCCTGCTCATTTTTGAAGATTTATTTCTCCGGCATAGGAGCATTCATCTCAAATACGACATATGATGCAGATTAGAATTTTATGATTTAAAAAAAAAATACATGACATTACGATACATATTTCGTGTACATCGATCAGCAAATAAAAATTGTAACTGATGATTCAACTTATTTTTATATTAGGGGAATTCTTTGAGGGCCGTTGCTACAAGTTTTTCAAGGAAAGAAAAACCTGGGAAGAAGCAAAGAGACACTGTAATTCCATAAATGCCATCCCCTCAACCCTTACACCGGTGCGATCTAGAGCGCACTATCAATTCCTGGTTAAATTAGCCGGAAAAACGTCTTTCTGGATCGGTAAGTATAATTTTTAATTTTAAAATTTAGTGGAAAAAAATGCGTGTTTAGGAATAAAACTATAATCAAAACAATATAGAAATTACTCTAAAGTTTCAGTACATTAATGCACCAACAGATATTATATATAACACCAATTCACGGTTAAGATTCTTTTAGCCTATCAGCCTCAAATAAAACAAACAATATATTTGAATATATGTTTTTGATTTAAAAAGCAAAATTACAGCGTACATACGGTGAATGAAATGCAAGAAAGTTGGCAGGGTTCGGTGAAGCAAAAGGAGTGGATAAACTCTGTAAAAAAAATCTAATCAGAGGCTATGTTTTTAGGAATACATGTTCGTAATCCGTACGATATGATAATATTTATCTCATGAGATGTTACAAAACAATTTATTTCGCAAGATTTGCCAATGTTCACTCCTCCTTAAATTGTAAATCGTGAGAATATGAAGCATACATAACCTTGACGGTAGTGTGGAATTTCTACTCAGTGTACTTCATTATTTTCTAATTACTTTCCTGTCTAGGTTTGAATAATAAACAGGCCCCCCGAGACTGGGAGTATCTCAGGGATGGATCATCTAGTATACCTCTCTTAAGTTACACCAACTGGGGCAAGAACCAGCCTCAAGTACGGGGCAAACGTGACAGAAGAAACTGTGTTCTAGTTAATAAACGCCGAAAATGGAAGAACAAATCTTGTACTAAAAACAGTAAAAGATTCATTTGCGAAGGAATTCCTCACCAAAAATTTCCATCCCAGCAGTTTTCAGTTTCGGACCAGCCTAGACGACAACGAGGCAGACGACGGCGGCGCTTCCGGTGGAGTAATTGAGTCCAAGAACCAGTTTAAAGGAACACTAAATGAGATTAAAAAACACTGGGGCTTGTCTCTTATAGTGTAGAGAATGCCCTTTATTCTGACCCAGTATCTGTCAGGGCAAGAGGCTATTGTATCTTAAAACAATAATGATGAGGCACGTTACCCGAATGATAATATTCAGACGTCTGCCACTCTGAGTAGCAGTGGGGAAATTATAATAACTTTTTCATGAGTTTGTAATCAGCTACATTGGCAGATGTCATTTCAAGCAGATTTATTGCCTTATGTTTACCTTTCATTTCAAAAACATAGATAATGAAATGGATAGCATACCTACTAAGCATAATAAGCTAGGTCAAATGACCACCACATAAATTGTGCAATCTGGGGCAATAATAATGGTGTGAACTATTAACACTGAAACTATCTGCTTTGTTGTTATGTTTGAATTTGTATCATTGTTATAGTAATTAATTAGAAAATATAGTTTTAGTTATAAATAGTTGGTACTATGTACTGCTAGCATATTGTTTCAGTGATAGCAGATTCTTGTACTTTAAAACTTGTGCTGGTATAAATATACCATAATTTAGTAGTAATAGTCCACTCATGATGTAGTGTTAAGAAAAAATTACCTGATTTCCACAGCTTTAATTTGTTTATTTTTATATATATATAAACATATTCTGCCCTTATGTTTTGACATAAGCCTATTTTAAATGAAATGACATGATTTATATATTTATGTACCACCAAACCAGACAATGCATTTTAATACAATATATAGTTCCACTCATATAGAAACTGTGCTATTTTATAACATTTGTTTTTGTTGTATATATTAATTGCTGTATATTAAATATATATTTTTTATTCTTTAGCAGCATGTTTTAACATGTAGAAATCCATTGGTCTGGAATCAGATTACATGCTTGTTTGTTTATATGTATATTTTAAATATTAAAAATTATGGGGTAAATGAATTGTTAACTTAATCCTGAATTCCTTACTGTTGAAATACTAGTATTGTGATGTTATGGCTGTGGTTTACATTTCTTATCATCTACTTTGTCATGACATGCTACTAGTAGAAATTAAATATTTAGAAACAACAACTTAATTCTCATTTTTGCTTTGATATCCCATATTTTTTAAAAAGTAAATATAAATAAACCATACTAAAAATTTAGCATTATTTTTTTTTTATCAACTGATAAGCATAATCATAAATCAATGCTTCTACATGTATTTGTCTTAATATAATATTAACTTGTGTTTGAATCTGGGGGCAATAAAAAGAGTTAAAATCAGTTCATGTTACATGTACATCAAACTGCATGTATACATGTATATGTTTACAGTACTATCTTCATATGTCAATTACCTCACAAATTAAGGTACACCAAAATAAAATTAAGAGAGGTGCAATTTCAATTTTGTGATGATTAATCAAACAAGAAATGATATGTCTCACAGAATCTTAATCACAAAAACAATTTTAAAAGTTTTATTCTTTTAATCTTCTCTGAAACATACAAAACTCTGCAGCTAGACATGCATGAATGCTACTTTACACATTGTCATTTATGTTTTTTGATACATGCTTTTATACAGTAATGACTTTGATACATACTGTAACCCTGATATACATACTGTTACCATTCATCTTTGTGATATATATTAGCTAATCTACTGAAAATTAAACTACTGAAATAAATATTTTACACAGTTTATCTCTCATTCCAAACTTCCAACTTGACTGATGTGTGACTCAAATGTAGGGGATTTCATAAGTAAAGAATGTTTTTAAAATGTACCTTTTTCTTTAAATTGCTCAAAAAGAACCTAGGCATGTTTTTATGAATAGTAAAATGAATCCTTATATCAAATTACACCAAAAACTTTATATACCATCCCAATAAGAAAAAGATAAGAAAGTTAAATATGCATACTGCATTGTATAAAGGCATTTTACAAACATCAATTATATATATCTGGGTCTGTAGTTTCTTGGAATAAGATGTAATTGATAAAAAAAAAATAAAAGATATAATTTTAATAAGCTAAGGTCACTGTGTTTATGCATTGCATTCTACTGGATGCCAAGACATGATAATTATGTTCATATTTCTTAGTGCAGATTGGAAAATCATACTTAAAATTTACCCAACATTTAAATGTAACAAGTACACAACAGCTACATCACTTAATATACCTCGAACTTGAATTTCCACAAACATACATTTATTATTGGGTTGAAGGTAAGCTAAATATAATCAAATTGTTGTTGACTTTGGAATAAATATAATCAATTTTTGTCGACTTTGAGATATGGTTTTCATAGAAATTGGAGAGGTCTGACATTGATCATAAAGGTGATATGTCAATCATGTTGTAGCAAAGTTAAATACACAACTATTCTTTGAATTTTTTCCATTGTGTTCTCTTTTTCATACATCTCACACAAAGTATTCTCAGAATTTCCATTTTGTATAATATAAATGTAACCACTTAGATATACACTAATTACCAAAAACTAAACAGCTTGATATTATAGTGTGTAACAGATCATTGAAAATTCTTGGAATACTGTTATTAAACTTAAATTCTTATTTCATGATTTTTTTTTAATAAAATCCAAATATTTCATTGTAAACTTTTTTTGATGCTGCTTGTTTTCATTACAATGACTGGATTCCATTGTCTTGGTTTCACGGCATTTGATTAGCATCTCGACAGGACTTACAACACATCCTGAAGAAGTAACCACGGTTACAGACCTTGTGTTTTACAACAAGGGGACAGAAGTGGGCCCGATCTCGGTCAAGGCATTCTAAAAATGTAGAAAAAAAATTCTCACTTTGGTTATTTTTTACAACAAATAAAATATCCTTTATATATTACTATTTATAAGGCTCAAACTTCTTGGTTGAATTTATTTTACTGCAGAAAGAATTCAAGAAATGATGCATCTTACTTTGGAAAAGCCAATGGGCCATAAGCCTCATCTGACTTCAAAAGCTCACCTATGTCACAATAATCACCTGACCCACAATGCTCACCTGACTCACAATGTGAACCAAAGTAACAATGCTCACCTGAGTCACAATGTGAACCAAAGTAACAATGCTCACCTGAGTCACAATGCTAACCTAAGTCACAGTGCTAACCTAAGTCACAATGTTCACCTGAGTCACAATGCTAACCTAAGTCACAATGCTAACCAAAGTCACAATGTTCACCTGAGTCTCAATGCTAACCAAATTCACAATGCTAACCCAAGTCACAATGTTCACCTGAGTCACAATGCTAACCAAAGTCACAATGCTAACCCAAGTCACAATGTTCACCTGAGTCACAATGCTAACCAAAGTCACACTTGCTCACCTGAGTCGCAATGTTCATCTGAGTCATTTGAGTCACAATGTTCACCTGAGTCACAATGTTCACCTGAGTCACAATGTTCACCTGAGTCACAATGTTCACCTGAGTCACAATGCTAACCTGAGTCACAATGTTCACCTGACTCACAATGCTAACCTGAGTCACAATGTTCACCTGAGATATAACGCTAACCTGAGTCACGATGCTCACCAAAGCCCCAATGCTTACCAAAGCCAGTTCACCTGAGTCACAATGCTAATCAAAGTCACAATGTTCACCTGGGTCATAATGTGCACATGAGTCACAATGCAAACCAAATTCACAATGTTCACCTGAGTCACAAGGCTCACCTAAGTCACAATGTGCACCTGAGTCACAATGCTAACCAAAGTCACAATGTTCACCTGAGTCACAATGCTAACCTGACTCACAATGTGAACCAAAGTAACAATGCTCACCTGAGTCACAATGCTCACCTATGTCACAATGTTCACCTGAGTCACAATGCTTACCTGAGTCACAATGTTTTGAGTCACAAAACTATTCAAAGACATAATGCTTATCTGAGTCATGATGCTCACCTAAGTCACAATCCCAATCAAAGTCACAATGCTCACCTGAGTCACAATGTTCACATGGGTCATACTGCTCACCTGAGTCACACTGTTAACCAAAGTCACAATGCTAACCTGAGTCACAATGCTAACCTAAGTAACAATGTTCAACTAAGTCACAATGTTCACCTGAGTTAAAATGCTCACCTGACTCTCATTGCTAACCTTAGTCACAATATCCAATGGAGTCACAATGCTGAGTCACATTGCTCACCTGAGACATAATGCTAACCTGAGTCACAATGCTAACCAAAGTCACAGTGTTCACCTGAGTCACAATATTCACCTGAATGACAATGCTAACCAAAGACACAATGTTCACCTGAGTCACAATGCTAACCAAAGTCACAATGCTAACCTGAGTCACAATGCCCAACTGAGTCATATTGCTTGCCTGAGTCACAATGCTTTCCAGAGTCACAATGCTTATCAAATTCACAATGCTTAACTGAGTCACAATGCTAACCAAATTTACAATGCTAACCTGAGTCACAATGCTCACTTTGAATCACAATGCTTATCAAATTCACGATGCTAACCTGAAACTGAGGTGAGCTCATTTTTATCCAAGTTTCACTATTCCATTATTAACCCCTTTTGAAAAAGCAAGACTGAGATAAACCAAAAAAAGAGCTTGTCTCAGATTATGGCCCCCGGAGTCTAGTCATAATGCTCTCACTACTAAGTCAGAAACGTTAAATCAAATTTAGTTCTTTAAATTAATATTAAAGAAAGTCAGGGTGTTAATGTTAATTAAGAAAATATTATAAACTGCTTGTCATATAATAACAATGTAAAAAGGAAAAGACCTTGTAAAATTTCATATCTCACTACACGAAGATTTTTTTTAATTTTTTTTTTAATTGCATCTTTTTGACGGTTTTGAAAAGAAAATATTTTTTTTACAAATATATAAATCGATCAAAGAAGCTTTTTTTCAATCTTTTCTTCTGGACATAGTTAAAAATTATATCAATTAAAGATGATTTTTCAAGGGTATTCTACATTTTTGTTAACTTTTTATGTTCCCTGCCCCCCACCCCGACCCCACCCTAGCCTTTGGGGTCTGTTTAAAACAGGGGATTGCTTTAAATTCAATATAAATGTTGCCACGGCTAAAATATTTTTGAATATTTCCTTTATTCATCAATGTCATTTGTTTACCCGTATTCTAACAATGAACAAATTCATGGAAAAGAAATTCTTTTACAAGGTAGTGAAATATTCAGAAGTAAAACTTGTGGCCTTTATAATGGCATAGGGTTTACAGCACCAAAATTTTCATAATAAACAAACTAAGAGCTCTGTTACCCTAAAACAAGTTCAATCTACATGAATTTCTGTTTTTAAACCATTAATCAGAATATTTTGGTGCTAATTATTAGCTAACTGAATACAATCTACACCTAAAAGCAAACTTTGTTCCACATGCTTTCAATTATTAAAATTTGTTTTATCAGCAATACAAAGCAGAATTTATTATTCATTAACTGATACAAACCTATTTGTTTTTAACATATTTGTGAGCAAAAATCCTCTTAAAATATGCTTAAGAATCAAAACTAAGTTAATGAGCCAAAAATCAGTTTGAAGTTGCAAAATGTTTCATCCTGTGATAAATTGATTGCATTTTGGTTTGAAATTTTTAATGCCCAACAAATAGCATATGAAGAGCATTTAACATTATTTTTTTCTAATTCACAAGAATTTCAACATTCCCCAAACTACTTATGCAAGATATATGATTTAATTTTTCTCTTTTACAAAGTAGGCAAAATATCTTACTGTATAGGGGATTAATTTCACGGGTTGTAATTTTCACGTTTTTCTCTCATCTGACACGATCGCGGTTTCTTAAATTCGCGGAATAGCTACATGTAAACGACATTCTTCAGCGTTGTTTTTATTTCACAAACAACAGGGTAGGTTTATACAAAATTGATAGAATTAATTAATAATTAATTAAAACAAGTGCAGTTATTTAAACGTCAAATGACTTTCCTATAAGCTATTACGATGAGTGCATGTGCACCCCAGATCTTCAATACAACGTGGCGAAAAACCACTGGACGGAAGTAAATGTGTTTATTAAGTTCGCCGAAATAATATCCTTCCACATCTTCAGTAAGTTCGATGGTTATTTGAATTATTTTTTAAAACCAAAATGTTGATAAAAACTAATATGCATGATAATGCAGGTAACAAATACACGTGGTAAAATTAGTTACGCACGGGTAATCAAAACCCATGGCCCACGTGTTTTGATTGATGAAACATGTAGTGTTGGCTATTAAAACAGCTTTTGAACAAACACGAGTTATTATCTGCCGATTTGAATTAAAGTAAAGCGTGATAATTAAAATAATTGAATGACGAGTACTACTCGTAAACTGAAACGACCATGTACTGCATGTACATGTATATCAACCTGTCGTAGTCAACCTATCGTAGTCTATTCTTAAATTTCCAAATAAATCATGGAGATTATTGAAAATTTATTCACTGTTTCTTGAATTCACGGATTTATTAACACCGTGAATATAGCGAATATTAACACCGCGAGTTATTTCCCCCCTATACAGTATTTGATAAAAACATACAAAGTTGCTATGATCAGTTCACTGCATCTCAATCCTTGTGGTTAGACAGTTTCCTGGTCACCTTATTTTTCATATCAACCAACATTTCACAGGATAAATGTGGCATGGCAGCAAGGACAAAGAGACAGTAAATACTGAATGATGTCTCTGCAGAAAATTTATTTCTTTTTTAAAATGTTTACACTTCAGCTGTTCAGAAAAGAATGAAAGTGTCAAAAACTACTACAGGAACTATGGCCATGGTTGTCATATAAATGAACAGCCAAATTAATTTTACCTCTATTCTTATACTACTACATTTTATCTTTTTGGAGAAATGGGAATTTTCCTTGAGAAGTCAAACATTGGTATAATTCACTTTCAAGATACATCATTTGACAAGATAGAGTTTAGAGTTGACTAATGAAGGCAATATTGCTTGGGGCAATTACAATGACTAGTCATTATTATGGTAGCTCATCCAAGTCAAAGATACCAGCAGGCAATCTGTATGCTTGTTAAATGTTCAAATTTTATCTGCATTGCCAGAATCTGTGCACTAATTTCATAAAACAGCTAAAGGAGAATCAAACTTTTTCCATAATGATCTACTTCCTATGAAAAAATGCAAACTAGAAATAAGTCTGCAGGGTATGAACGTCCCATTTTGTGGTCTAGTTCCAAAGAAATAATATCAGCAAAAGTAATGTAAACTTAAAATGCACAGTTAAGGTCAAAATATATACAGAGACCTGAGTTGATAATTTAAGGTAGCAGGTCAGAAAGAGATTTCTTGACCAGTTTTCGTGAGCTGAAGCATAATAAAAAGAATTGAAATGGAAGTTATATATAAGGGCAAGGTCTAAAAATTTTATAGGGTTTTAGAAAGTTGGATCGAGGGCTGAAAATTTAAATCTTAGCTGTTTCTGAAGTTTGATAAAAATATCTTGAATTTTTTCAACTTAACAAACCCACATCTCAGGAACCAACCAGTAATAACTCCAAAGTACATGACTGTCCCATTCCTGGTTTATTAGAAATGCCACATTAAAATTTGTCTAGTGTATGAAGTTAGATTAAAATATCTTGAATAGCTTTTTCGCCCCCCCCCCTTTCACTAAAACAAGGGGACATTAAGTCTCATTCATCTGTCAGTCTGTCTAATTGTCTGTCACAAAATATTAGCCTTAGTCATAACTTTTGAATGAGAAGAAACAGGGTTTTCATATTTCACACATATGTTAACTGTGATAAGACCTTTCCAAAACTTAAGATTTTTGACCCTGTGACCTTGACCTTAAAGTTTGACCTACTTTTAAAAATTTTTAATATTATTTTAAATTGGTCAAAATTTTTGAAAGAGAAAGATGAGGATTTCATATTAAACAAGTATATAACCTGTAACAAATATATTACCTTTCTAAATATAACATGACTTTTGACTGTGTGGCCTTGACCTTGACATTTAACCTACTTTTCAAAAAGGTTATCTTTCCTTGTAATTTTTAATTGAGAAGAAATATGGCTTACTTATTTGAATAAAAATTTCTCAGGTTATCTTCTCTAAAATCTAGCTAAACACCTATTATAATTCAAGGTTGAATGAAAGTTCAAAGTCAAAAATGTTGCTGCAATTGAAAAGCTCTAACCAATATGCATCAGCATACAAAGTTTGATTAAAATACCTATAATACTTTCTTTGAAATTTTGCTTTATACCATTTAGATAAGTGAGATCAAGGTCAATTTTGGGATTTTGGGGTGGGATCTTATTTTAATTCTTTGCTGAAGGTGCTCAAATACATCCATTTAAATCAAAATTTAGCAACATTGCATTTTCAAAAAGCCTGTGTTTCAAAACCTGGACTCCTAAAAGAAACATTTTTTATAGAGAATAAAAGCATTCTTTTTTACTTTATTTTGATGTTTTGACTGTAGTGAGTTAATTGAAATATGGACAGGGCCACGTGAACTTAGCTCTTTGCTTGTCATTGAAAAAACTTTTGAAATTCCAAGATCAGCCAAAACTTGTCGAAATTCTGAAATCAGGTTTTCAACAAGTGTGCAAAGTGTAATAACTCTTACTTATGTGCTACAGAATTTGTATGAAAAAGACCATAGCTTAATCATAATTGTGCAAAGTAGTTATTTGACATTCATTTAAAGAGAAGAAATTGTTATTAATATTTTTATGTTTTATTTAAAGAACAAAACTATACTTTTGACAAACTTATGGATGACTTTTCTTTCTTTTTTATATATACATTCTTGTTTATTCAAACAAGATTAAAATTAATAATATGTACATACCCAGCTGAGGGGAGTGCTTGCTCTCACAGTAGGACTGACACTCCCTGACAAGTATTGGGCGGGTTTTAGGATCACAGCCGCTGGCCAGTTTACCACTGTGATCCCGACAAAGGACAACTCTGGACTGTCTCCCTCTACCACATTTTGCTGAACACTATAATATTTTCAATATGCTCTTAAATGCCAATCATCAAATGTTATTTTAATTCAATTACCATTCATCAAATGAAACTGAACTTAATGCTTACCTCATGAATTTTCAAAAAGCAAAACAATTAAAAGCATTCAGACAATGAAGCTGATTTAACTTACAAAGATTGCTCCCTTGAAAATCTCAAAAGTACTGTAAAAATAAACATCTCCTAGTTGTACAGAAATCAGATGAATGAAATGAATACTATGCACCTTACTGTTGTATAAAACTCTGCTGAATGCCCTTTGATTGATTGAGTATTGTACAAATGTTCTGACTTGTCCATCACTCACCTTGTCCCACTTGCCTGACGTCCACTTTGGTCCTGGACACAACTCCCGATTACACTTCTGTACAATGGCCGGCTTTACAGACAAGCCACACCTCTCTCCCGTCAGGTACTTGTTTCTATCACTCGTCATACACATAACGTCTCTTTTCTGTTCTCCCTTGCCACATGTTGTTGAACACTAAAAAAAGAAAACACTCAGTTGTGAGACATTTTCCAAGACAGAAAATGAAATGCATATTGAATGAATTGTCATATTTCCGAGAAAAAAAAATCTTTAAAAAAAAATTTGCTAAAAAATTTCCATATCCTTGAGCATTTTCCTCTTTGCTTGGTGCAAAAGAACCACATTCGTTACCCACTTGGTGTTAAAGCCCACTGAAAACCTACCTTTCCCCACTCCCCGGAGATCCAGACAGGGGGACAGTCCAGCCTCCTACAGTGACGGTGTGTTCTGGGTTTGGGGAGACTACAGCTGCTGTCTAGGAGGATTGTTTTCTCGTTAAGGCTAAGCACCTGTACACAGATAACGGTCCTCATTTTCCTTCCTCCCCCACAGGTAACACTGCAGTGAGACCAGTCACCCACCGACCACCTAAAGAAACATAGGTACAGATTTAAATTTTTATTTTGCATTTTCCACAGTTATTTTATTCTTTCTTGCCACAAATATATATAAAGATCTGTGAGTACTCTTAATAGGCTGTTGTACCTACTAATTTTATTGCACAAAGACTTGCTATTGACTATACCCTTATAAATTTCTTCATATTCTAAAATGAAAATAGATATACTTAAATTTTTTTTTGATCCCAAAATGGAGATTCAAAAAATGAATATGAAAACATTTCCATAGAAATGCACTTTGGCATTTTTTATGCATAATCTTTCATTCACATGTAAACTTACTCTGGTGGGCATGCATTCTGGTTACACGCCTCTTCTACACTGCCTGGCTTAGCTGCAGAATCACACATGGTCTCTAAAACTCTTGTTTTGTTCTGGACGTTGATACAAACTGGAATGGAGGTCCTTCTTCCTGACCAAAAGTTAAGCAATGATTCTGACATTGATTTCATAAACATAAGTGAAACACTAACATGACTCAGTCCTCTGATTCCAAGTGAATTAATTCTCTTCTGAATGTCAGCTTTCTTACCTTTCCCACAGCTACTGGAGCAGGCTGACCAGGACTGGTGCCAGGTAAAGGAAGAGTTCTCTACAGATCCTGTCACATTTCTAGGCAGGTTGTATGTGTAAGAGATTCCTTTATTGTCTTCTTGTAATAAAACCTGAAAAATCAGGAAAATAGAAATTATTCTGCAATTTGAAATATTTGCTAAAGTTAAGAAGTAAAAATTTGATTTTTTTGGTTTTTCTGCTATTGAATGTTAAGTCACATGTATTACAGCTCACATTCAAAACTTTACCCTGGTGCTCAATCTCTGTAAGGATAAGCAGACAAGCTTATGTCAAAAGTATAAACTGCCTGATACATGATTTATGGTGAAAAAGGGTGCATCAAATAAAATGATAAGTCCATAGATCTAAATCTGTTACATGTAAGATGCAAAAAACCATTCTACCTACCATGAAAACTAAATCCTCAGTTGTGGGTCCTAGTGAATGTATGACTTCTGGTTGTCCATCTAGTCGCTCATAATGAAAGACAGTTCCAGCAGCGGAGAATTTCCGGGGCCAATCTACTGTCCAATCACCATTAATGTAGTAAATGTCAGAAGTGTTCTTCAGTGCTAAAATGGATTTGTAGACTTGAATACTCATACAACACTCAAGTATCCTGATTCAGTTTTTGCAATAACCATCACCATATATTTTGAAGAGAGCAACTATACACACATACATACCAAGATAGCTCTGAGACTGTACTATTTCTGACACACGTATAAGCATAGCTCCTTTTGGAATGGTTATTATTTCATAATATGCTGAAAAAGGAGTAAAAAATATAACAAAGGATAATACAATAATTTTTCATTCAGTGAAAATCATTTCTTATTGGTTGATGAATTCCTTACTTCCTGGAGATAGAGCTTTATTAAATGTGCCAGAGACAGTGTAACATGAAGAGTTGTCTCCGTTACAGACTCGGCATTTGTCCTCCACCGCGGTAGATCCCAGAATTCCATCACATCCTACCGGCTGTAATGAAGTAACTAAATCAGCTATACAATACTGTTATCAAACAAGAAATGTTTGTAAAACACTTATGCCCCCCTCCCCCGAATAAATTGGAATTTTTCTAAGTCCAAGGGACATAACTCTGTCAAAACATAGGTAATCAGAGATTACAGAGCTCACCTCAACAAATGTTGTCTTTCAGTAAGGCAAAGTCACACAATTACCCAACAAAAAGTGTACATCCAAAAATGCAAAATTTATGCAATTTTGATCTGATACTTTGGAATAGACCTATATAAAACCTTCAAATAGTCCTTTTTCATGAAAATGTAATTAGAATCCAGCATCTGAAGAAAGTTTGAGAGTTTTCATCGCTTGATGCATCATTTGGGCAAGTTTGGTTTATATAAGCCTTATAGTTTCTTGGTAATAGACCTGCACCCATAACTTTTACCTGGTCCATTATCTGGAAAATGTATGTTGAATTCAGCATCCGGAGCAAATCCATTAGTGTGCATCCTAAGATGTATCATCCATGCGAGTTTGCACAACATAGGGCTAATAGTTACTTAGAAATGAAACCTGCATAAAAATTTAACCTCTTCACTCATCCAGACAAAAATGTAGGTCAGATTCAGCATCCAAAGCCAGCCTAGTAGAATGCAACCTTAGAAGTATCATCCATGCAAGTTTGGTCATTAAAGAGCTCATAGTTACTTGGAAATGAATCCTGTCAAAAACTTAAACCTGTTCTCTCATCCAGAAAATGTAGGTCAGATTCAGCATCTGAAGCAAGTCTGGTAGTATGCATCCTAAGATGTACCATCCATGCAAGTTTCTTCATTATAGGGCTTATTGTATCTTGAAAATGAAACCTGCACCAAAAACTTAAACATGTTCACTCAACCGGAAAATGTAGGTCAGATTCAGCATCAGAAGCAAGCCTGGTAATGTGCATCCTTAGATGTATCATCCATGCAAGTTTGGTCAAAATAGGGCTTATAGTTACTTGGAAATAAGACCTGCACCAAAACCATTAACCTGTCCACTCAACCAGAAAATGTAGGTCAGATTCAGCATCCGAATCAAGTCTGGTAGTGTACATCCCTAAATGTATCATCCATGCAAGTTTGGTCAACATAGGGCTTATAGTTACTTGGAAATGAAACCTACACCAAAAACTGCACCAAAAATGTTAACCTGCTCCAAAAACATTAACCTGGTCATTCCTTTGCTGAAATTGCAGCATCTGAAACTTTGACTGTTACAATGAAACACACTAGAAGCATCTTCCATGCATGTCTAATCAATATAGGACATAGAAGTACCTAAAAAGAAAACTGCTCCAAAAAACTTAACCTTAACCTGGGACGCCGACACCGACGCCGAGGGTATTACATAAGCTCCCCCAACTTTGTTGAGGTGAGCTAAAAATTGCTCAATTGTACCCAAAACAGAACTTGTCTTGGATATTCTTAGGATAAAACTGTATACCAAATTTCATTTCAATATACACAATACATATGTATCACAATACATACCAAACACTTGCCATTAATACACATGTCCATTTTGTCAGGGTAACAACGAGTTCCGTCAATCACCTTACGAGCCTGTTCTGTGTAGAAGTTGAAGCCATCAGCGATACAATGCAGAGCACAGGGCTTGTCATGGGCTGCAATTAATAAAATAATAATAACTTACATATGATTATTCTGACAACAAGGAAAACAGAATTTCATTTCTGAATGTTTTGCAAATGATGTATTAATCTAATGTACAAGCACAAGTAAATTATGACGTTACACTACACGTATAAGTTATACTGAATAACTAGACAAAATCTGTAAATCTTCATATTAATTCTGTCACCAATAATAAAAGTTTCACTGAGTAAATTCTACCATACCACTACTCACCACCAGAAAAGGTTTTCCAATTATAGTATCTCCCTCTGAAAGGTTTCTTATTGAAGTCTGCACACTGTAGTTCACGGAAATCTTTGTCAATGTTTAGACATGTCTGTAAAATGTGAATCAGTTTATAGCATTTATTTAAGCAGATAAACTAACTACAATCTTATAGATTAAGTTCCATGTTAAGTACATTCCAATATATTTTGTATTACTGTATGTATACCCCCCACAATAACTTTACCTCAATATTACAAGACCTGTATCTTTTTCTTTGTCCAACACAGTATTTTCCTCCATGCCTTGGCCTGAAAAAAAAACCCAGAATTTTAAAGTTCTGCCTACCATCTAACTTGCTCTAAAATTCACACTTACATGCGATACTCTCATTGACTTGATCGTCAATCCCCCTAAAAAGAGTATATGTCCCAACATATTCACTCATTCCCCTTCCAGCCAAAGTATGGATAATCATCCCACTTGAGGCTGAACTTTTGCCCCAACTAAAGTGTAAGATATTCTTATAGATCATTGTTTTATTGTGTTTCCTACAGTTGCAATGGATACTTTCTACCAGTAGCTACTTACTCTGGATCATTACATCTCCTGAAGCTGGACTCAATGCCCCCACCACAAGTTCTGGTACACATGTCCCACTCAGACCACTGACCCCAGGAGCCATCCACAGGCTGAGGTTTGTAGTCCAAGGCCCGACACTCCCCCAGATAGCACCACTAGAATAAATAGTCATATCTTACAAACCAATAGGTAAGGCTATCTAAATTTAATTCTCTAGTTATCAGGCCAATTTTCTCCAAAACAGATGCAGGAGGGAGGCATTTTATTTTTCATTTTATTGGCAGAAAAGTAGATGTGGGAGGTAATTTTTTAATTTCAATTTTGATTTTTTTTTAAAAATAAAGATTATTTTTTTTATTCACTCATATACTTTCCATATCTGATCATAAGGTTTGCTTTATCCATTGCTTATCAGCGTGTGAACATTGTAGGCAATGTCTTCGAATGTATCTTCAAACAAAGTAGCCAAATTCTCTTTGCAAATGGCTACCGGAAGTGATATTTAAGTACTAAACTACAAAAAAATCAGGACGGAACTTTTTTTTCCAGATTGGTCTCCGCAATACCACTTTTTATTTTATCAAAAATACAATAATATTAGCAATGCGGCTACCTCAAAACGAATGCGCGCCGGCCTGAGAACCAGAATTTCAATTTTATGTAGCCTAAAGTATCAGAGCACAAAACTTTTTTTTCTAAAATACAAGTCAAATGCAGGTTGTCTTTATTTATGCCCTCTTTATTAGGTCCATCAATGACATGAGTGAAAACATATTCAACCTACAATGCAAACATTTTTCATATTACTACCATATTATTTTAATTTTTTTTGGGGGGGGGGGGGGGGGGGTGTTGTTGACAACTGTAAGACATATACAGGTAAAATCATGCAATGTACTTCATTGAATGAACTTACTCCTTTCTCCTTTGTGTTCATGATAAAACACCCAGTCCCCTCTGCGGCAGGAATTCCCTTGGTTTTACATTCACCCTTGTCATTCAAACACCACAGTCCACTACAAACCAACTGTAATACATGAGGAAGGCTACTTTGTAATGCATGTGAATTACACTATGAACATGTATAAGGTAGTTAGAAAGAAAAACAATAAATATCCTGAAATACATAAGAATCAATAACTAAATATTAATGTATAATCTCAACTTCATTCAGGTGAGCTTAAAAGAGCTTTTTTGCAATACTAGAACCTTGAATATGTAAGGTTCTTATTAAACCAATGGGGAAGACTTAAAGTTTAAAGCAGATAACATAGAGAAGTACCTCGGGTTTACAGTTTGTAGACTGGCTGCCGTACTGTATTTTACACTGCTCTGTGCTATCTCTCTTATCCTTCTGTACTCCGTGGTCAGTATGCTTCACTCTCACTACAGGACTGTTGTCTAGACACGAACTCTTCTCTGAACTAGGAACAAAATATAGTCAATCATGAATAATGAATGAACTTAATGTCCCTGCTTCATTACCAAACTAGAGACTCATGGGCCACAATGCTTACTTACATTCAAATCCCTTAGCCCTTTTGTGTCTTTCAACCACAGATTTTTAAAAGATATCTATACTTTTTTCACATGAAAAATTTATACCATATACTGTATCCCCATTCAGCTTCAAAGCAACAACACAATATATAACTTGAATCTATACATTGAGAGCAAAACACATTGTAGGGAAGTGTTGTCAAGACTACAGGAAGGTCAATGTAATAAAGTTCTGCTACAGTTGAACAACTTTCACAAGTATGCCAGGGTTTGACACTAAAGTTGGACTGGCAGCCCGAGTCCACCAAAAAATTGGTAGGTCCACCAAATGTTCTGGACTAGGTGGACTGTCGGTCCACTTAAAATTTTAAACACCGTATTTAAATACAGTGAAATTCCAAGGTTTTTTTTCTTTAAATTGAAATCTGTTACATGTAAAATTGATAACTCCAATATTAACAATGATATTGAAGCGCATTGTAGGGAAGTGTTGTCAAGACTGCATTGTTGTCTTTTTTATAGATGCATTTTACATTTTATAAAGTATTATCTGCAGTTTAATATTTTTTCTTGATATACATTGTATCAATTAACTTATATTGAATAAATAATAAATTAAGAAAAAAAATGAAATAATACACATACATATACCTATGTCAGTTTTGCATCTTAGTAAATAACAATGATCTAGCCATACATGTAGATACCTGAAAAATTCACTTGTTTAATATTTTAACAAATTAATTAATAATTGGAATTTTAAATTAAATCTACCTTTGCAAGTGAAATAAATGCAGGTTTTCACCATTGTAACTTAATTATAATTATTAAAAAAAAAAAGATTCGGTTTTTACAGGGACCTATATACTAGTACATGTATCAGGATATAGGTCCCTGGTTTGAAGATGAATACCTTTTTTATTTTGTTTTACAATATTTCTGAAAAAAATATCTGACTACTCCCTAATTGATTTGATTCTGTTGACTGGTTAGATTTATAAAAGCTTTATTAGTCTGACTGGAATCGGCATATATTAAAGGTTAGTTTTAATTAATGCCTTGCATTATGATTCCTAGATTAATTCAAACATTTATAAAGGTCCACCAGATATTGAGAAGGTCCACCAATAATTTTTGACAAGTGGACCTGCGGTCCACCAAGGTAAAAAAGTTAGCGTCGAACCCTGTATGCATCAGTGTATAATTTCTAGTTAATATGCTGAACCCTTTCTTTGGAACTGAGCTAAACATGTTAAGAACAAATAGAAGAACAAGAGGCCCATGGGCCACATCGCTCACCTAAGCACTGTGGCTATGAAAAAAGTAGAAATTAGTCCCATGACCAATCATGGCTTTGCTATTCTTGAGAAGAAATTTTTAAAAATGTTCCTATATATTTCTATGCAAAAATTTGGCTGGCCATTTTGGCCCCGCCCTACCCCTGGGGGTCATGATTTGAACAAACATGAATCTACACTACCTGAGGATGCTTCCATATTAATAAGATCAATTTTAGCTTTGCTTTTCTTGAGAAGAAGATTTTTAAAGAATTTTCCTATATAGTTCTATGTACAACTTTGCTTGGTCATTTTGCTCCCCCCCCCTACCCCTGGGATCATGATTTCAACAATCTTGAATCTACACTACCTGAGGATGCTTCCATATAAGTTTCAGCTTTCCTGGCACAGTGGTTCTTGAGAAGAAGATTTTTAAAGAATTTTCCTATATCTTTCTATGTAAAACTTTGGTCGGCCATTGTGGCCCCGCCCTACCCCCGAGGGGTCATGATTTGAACAAACTTGAATCTACACTACCTGAGGATGCTTCCATATAAGTTTCAGCTTTCCTGGCACAGTGGTTCTTGAGAAGATTTTTAAAGAATTTTCCTATATCTTTCTATGTAAAACTTTGGTCGGCCATTGTGGCCCCGCCCTACCCCCGAGGGGTCATGATTTGAAAAAACTTGAATCTACACTACCTGAGGATGCTTCCATATAAGTTTCAGCTTTCCTGGCACAGTGGTTCTTGAGAAGAAGATTTTTAAAGAATTTTCCTATATCTTTCTATGTAAAATTTTGGTCGGCCATTTTGGCCCCGCCTTAACCCCGGGGGTCATGATTTGAACAAACTTGAATCTACACTACCTGAGGATGCTTCCATATAAGTTTCAGCTTTCCTGGCACAGTGGTTCTTGAGAGGAAGATTTTTAAAGAATTTTCCTATATCTTTCTATGTAAAACTTTGATCGGCCATTGTGGCCCCGCCCTACCCACGGGGGTCATGATTTAACAATATAATATCTACGCTACCCCAGGATGCTTTCATATAAGTTTCAGCTTTCCTGGCACAGTGGTTCTTGAGAAGAAGATTTTTAAAGAATTTTCCTATATATTTCTATGTAAAAGTTTGGTCGGCCATTGTGGCCCTGCCCTACCCCCGGGGGTCATGATTTGAACAAACTTGAATCTACACTACCTGAGGATGCTTCCATATAAGTTTCAGCTTTTCTGGCACAGTGGTTCTTGAGAAAAAGATTTTTAAAACATACCACCAAATTTTTATTAATTCCCAATTATCTCCCCTTGAATGAGGGCATGGCCCTTCATTTGAACAAACTTGAATCCCCTACACCCAAGGATGCTTTGCGGCAAGTTTGGTTGAAACTGGCCCAGTGGTTCTTGAGAAGAAGTCGAAAATGTGAAAAGTTTACAGACAGACAGACGGACTACAGACAAAATGTGATCAGAAAAGCTCACTTGAGCCTTCGGCTCAGGTGAGCTAATAAAAGGTTGAAAAGATTGAAGACATACTTTAAAAACACTATATACCCCTGTCAAATTTATCTCGCAGCATAAAAGTGCATATAAAACAAAACGAGTTAATGAAACACTATGCACTCTGCGGGAACAAAATACACAATTCTAAAAAACTATTTTTAGCATATAGGTCACAGTAAAGCTAACAAAGTCATTGACCTGGTGTCACTTCATACCGTATGAGTGGAAATTTTAGCGAGACACAAATTTAGCGATTTCTACCTAAGGTTTGGTATTTTATTTTTAGTGAGAAGTAAATTTAGCGATTTCAAAATGCTAACTAAAGAAGCTATTGCAAATAATACGCATTTAATTTTTAGCGATATATAATTTTAGCGATGTCAGCACCCTCGCTAATAATGCCAAAATTGAATCCTTGCTAAAAATTCTACTTATGCGATACAACACAATAAGTGGAGTATGCATACCAAATATGAAGTCTCTATCTGTTATGGTTCAAAATTTATGACAAAGGATCAAAAAGGCTATTTTCAGCATATAGGTCACAGTCAAGGTCACAAGGTCATTGACCTTGGTGCAATTTGGAAGAGCTGAATTAGTGGAGTATGCATACCAAATATGAATTTCTCACAGTTCATAGGTTATTGCGAAGGTTAAAGTTTACGACAGACAAACAGACAAACAAACAGATAAATAGACAGGATAAAAACAATATATGCCCCCGATCTATCAATCCAGGCACATAAAAAAGTGTAATTTGGTTTTCACATTAATTTTCTGCTGAAGAAAATAATTTGGCAATATTATAATTCTCAGATGTCTGTGACCCCTTTTAATAAGTAGACCCCTCATGACCAGACTCACTCTATAAACTCTGTTATAGCGTCACGGCTACACGAGGACCAGTTAAATGGTCTGGTCTCCTTAGACAGCTGGGCTGCCATTAGTCCTGCCGTCAGGTTAGACCCTGGTACTCCACACAGGTTCCCAGATCCATCATGCTGCATTCCAAAGCTGTTCAGATATATGAAGATTGGGAAATAATCACAATTTTCATAATTTGCAATGTACATATTTAAGGAGGCTGGGGGTCAACAGATTATTTTTTTATTAACCACCAGATATAACTTATTTTTTTAGATATGATATCTTGAGCTGTCAACTGTCATTTGGCAAAGAAAAATTTCATAAACTTTAGTTGTGAAATTTGATCATTTTATTATATCTTTATATGGAGCTCTTCTTCTAAAGGAGATCAAAAAAGTCTAAAAATGGCCATGACCACCCAGCCTCTTTAAACATAGTATATGAATTCATGTTTTTCTTGGTGTTTTTTTTTTGGTCAATACTTTAAAATCATAATGTATAAGTGCATTTTTACTGATAAGAAATCAGATTTAAGAATCAAAAAATATATTTTAAGAAAACAAACAGAATTACTTGTGTCCAATTTCATGGGCGATGGTAAATGCAGAGGCTAGACCAATATCCTCATTAATGCTACAGCTTCTGTCTCCTCCACACATACCATTCACAGGGGCCAAGCCTGTATGTACAATAAAACTCATTTAGTAAGAACATGGATATTGCGAATTCACGGATATAGCGAAGTCATCTTGGATCCCCTGTTATATAAATTTAATGAATTCCTTATACAGTACAGGCAACGCGGATCCTGTATTTACCGCGTCCCCGCCGCGGTATAATCACAACGCGGTATTTGGCCAGGTAGACAGGTAAACCGCGTTCCCTCCGCGGGAAATTCATCACTTATCTGTCCCCGCCGCGGTTAAATCATCGATCAATTACTGACAATTAGTATCGTATACAAACGGGAGTTATCTCCCCGAATTGTAATTTGCGAATTTTCCCTGTCACAAAAAAAACCAGAAGTCTCTGTCGAGACTGAAGCTCTACTGGTTTGAACTTATAGCAAAGGAAGAGAAAGTACTTAAGCAACTGGGATTTGAAACTTTATAAACAGCATTAAATAGAATAATGATCGGTGATAAAGTCTCTTTTTGTTCTTAGTGTAGTCTACTTGTGTGCAAAGTTATACTGAAATCAGACCAAAACTGTAGGAGGAGTAGCATTTTGAAACAATTTTACAGACATTTCTATTTTTAGTAACCACGACAACACCATTCATCGAAATCAAAAACCGATACACAGAATTATGTATCATAGTGTATTCTACTTGTTTGCCAAGTAATACTAATATCAGACCAAAACTGTAGGAGGAGTAGCATTTTGAAACAATTTTACAGATATTTCTATTTTTAGTAACCACAACAACACCATTCATCGAAATCAAAAACCGATACACAGAATTATGTATCTTAGTGTATTCTACTTGTTTGCCAAGTAATACTGAAATCAGATCAAAACTGTAGGAGGAGTAGCATTTTGAAAGAATTTCACAGAAATTCCTATTTTTAGTAACCACGGCAACACCGTTCATCGAAATCAAAAACCGATGCACAGAATTATGTATCTTAGTATAGTCTACTTGTGTGCCAAGTTATACTGAAATCAGACCAAAACTGTAGGAGGAGTAGCATTTTGAAACAATTTTACAGATATTTCTATTTTTAGTAACCACGACAACACCATTCATCGAAATCAAAAACCGATACACAGAATTATGTATCTTAGTGTATTCTACTTGTTTGCCAAGTAATACTGAAATCAGACCAAAACTGTAGGAGGAGTAGCATTTTGAAAGAATTTCACAGAAAGTCCTATTTTTAGTAACCACGGCAACACCGTTCATCGAAATCAAAAACCGATGCACAGAATTATGTATCTTAGTGTAGTCTACTTGTGTGCCAAGTTATACTGAAATCAGACCAAAACTGTAGGAGGAGTAGCATTTTGAAAGAATTTCACAGAAATTTCTATTTTTAGTAACCACGGCAACACCGTTCATCGAAAATAAAAACCTATATACAGAATTATGTATCTTAGTGTATTCTACTTGTTTGCCAACTTATACTGAAATCAGACCAAAACTGTAGGAGGAGTAGCATTTTGAAAGAATTTCACAGAAATTTCTATTTTTAGTAACCACGGCAACACCGTTCATCGAAATAAAAAACCGATACACAGAATTATGTATCTTAGTGTATTCTACTTGTTTCCCAACTTATACTGAAATCAGATCAAAACTGTAGGAGGAGTAGCATTTTGAAAGAATTTCACAGAAATTTCTATTTTTAGTAACCACGGCAACACCGTTCATCGATATCAAAAACCGATATATAGAATTATGTATCTAAGTGTAGTCTACTTGTGTGCCAAGTTATACTGAAATCAGACCAAAACTGTAGGAGGAGTAGCATTTTGAAAGAATTTCACAGAAATTTCTATTTTTAGTAACCACGGCAACACTGTTCATCGATATCAAAAACCGATACATAGAATTATGTATCTAAGTGTAGTCTACTTGTGTGCCAAGTTATACTGAAATCAGACCAAAACTGTAGGAGGAGTAGCATTTTGAAAGAATTTCACAGAAATTTCTATTTTTAGAAACCACGGCAACACCGTTCATCGAAATCAAAAACCGATACACAGAATTACGTATCTTAGTATAGTCTACTTGTGTGCCAAGTTATACTGAAATCAGACCAAAACTGTAGGAGGAGTAGCATTTTGAAAAATTGTTTACAGACAGACGGACAGACGGACAGACAGACAGACAGACGGACAGACGGACGGACGCCGGACGCATTACTATCGCATAAGCTCTTCTGGTCTCTGACCAGTAGAGCTAAAAACAAACAAACAAACAAACAAACAAACAAAAAAAAAAAAACGTGTATTTATTAATAAATTTTGCTATGAATAGAATTTAAACTAAGAAAAAATAAGTTTATTTTTGTTTCTAAAATTACATATCAATCTTTGAAATTGAATAGAAAATTTTATTAAATTGTTACGTCTTTGCAATTGGTTAATTATTTTGTGTTATTAAGAATCTATCAAGAAACAAAATTAAATACTAGAAATTTTAATTAGTTTTTTTTTTTTTAATCTTAATATTATATGCAAACTGTAAAAAATGTTGAACTCAGACTGTTTAAGTTTCGATGAACGATTTTCAGCATTCATTTGAAAAAAAAAAATGTACATCTTTTAAAAAATGTACATCTTCATATTGTTTATTAATTAATTTCGATTTATTGTATATAAAATGTACAGGCTTTTTCTTAAAGTGTCAAATTACCGGAAAACATCCGATGACGAGCATTTGCAGTTACATGTAGTGGGCACGTGAACTTAAATTTTCTTTATCCAAGATATCAAGAAAAAGTTCTATTCTTCTTTATTTCTCATCGTTTATGTTCTGTTCCCAAATTAAGTTAATTTAATTAATTAATTTTCTTTAATGTATTTCCCTCTTTTATATAAATGTGCAGGCATTTTTCTCAAATTGTCAAATGACCGGAAAGCATTCGATGACGAGAGTTAACTTTGAGCACGTGAACTTTATACAAGAGATCAAGAAAAAATATCGTTTTTCACCTTCACATTATCATGTTTTACTTTTTAATATAATGTCTTTCTTTTTAATTTTAATATTGTTCAATAGATAAGATAGGATGTGCAGGTGTAATGTTAAACTTCACAGACGAAATTATAGTTTATATTAATAAATATTCAATGCAAAAATTCATATATTTTTGTTTTCTTTGACAAATTCTGTTTCTTTGTGTATTAAGTATTAGCCGCGATCATTTCCTGTGTATAGGGATTAGCAGTGCCTGAGCAGGAAACGATATGCCCTGGGGGTTTCACACCTGTCTTATAGTATACCTTGGGTAACGCTTGCTGGATGTGCACGTCGTTGTCTAGCCATTCAACAACACATTTGATTCATTGTTTCATTATTATTTCATTGATATCATTTTCAGATGCGATATTAGCCTTGGAATTTGTGTCAAATTATTGTTGCTTTTTTTTAAACGGAGTGTATAAAAAGAATAAAAGTAAAAAAAAAAAAAAAATTTTAAAGCAAATTAATGAAGTATTTGATATCAATTAAATCAAATAATGATCCATTACTATGTTATTTCGTGTCTGTTTATATCTGTACCAGTTAGAAGATTGAAAGAGAGAGAGAGGAGATAGAGAGAAGAAAAATATCACAGTATTAAGGCACGTGCATGGTCGTTTTTCCTCCTTTTTGATCAGTATATCAATTTCTTAAGTTTAGCGAATAAAACTACCGCTGATTTATCAGTTTATTGACCATCTGTCGAATTTGTCTAAGTTTTATTGTTATTTATCGAGAGACTTGTTTATGATCCACTTTCTTCTTTCGTTTAGCATATGTACATGACATGTAATTTGAATTACTTCCCTTTTTGTCGCCAGATTACAACGACAGATTTTGGTGGTAAAATAAAATGTATTTTTGCTATAAAATTTGATTAAGGAAAACACAGTATATTAAAATTGTCGAATTCTTGAAAATATTTATTTGAAACAAAAAATTTAAAAAGGATTCTGTCTGCAACAAAAACATTCTTTATTTCTTGCATTTCAATTCATGAGCTACACATGAAAAAAAAAAAACGGCTTCGTTTTACAATGTCGTAGGAAAACGCATACAGGTAATACACTCAGGTAACATCCTGTGTATATAGGTAGTATGTACACTAGACAGCGTCGTTCCCTCGGGGCTTCTCATCCGCTTTGAGTAAGCTCCACTCCACACCAAACTTACCTGAGGAAAACCGAACGGTTACACAGAAAACTTAAAGCATGGCAACTTGCTGATTAAAATAAGTTAATTTCTGTGTTGTGTGTTCAAATATTTTAAGGGCCCATATTTGTGTTTGCTTTTATTTGAACCGGAGAAATCTGAAATTTGTTTATGTTCATAAACATGATTTTAGTAATTTTCGAAAAGAGCAGAAAATAGAAATACATTCAAATACTAGCTATGATATTATTGATATTCTGAATAGAAATACCTGTGATTATTTTATTAACAAGACCCCCCCCCCCCCCCCCAAAAAAAAAGGTCGATATTTAGTTCATAGTGTTACAGTGTAGCGCATAATAATGGAGCAACGGTATTCCTACACTTACGCGTGTTTTGTTAAAATTTAATTGTAATTATGTATCACTATCTATCATCGTTTTTCATGCCATTATTTATAACAGACATGTATACAGAAGTAACGCTACTTTTCTAAATGAAACCAAATGACTGATATAATCTCGCAGATAAATAAACACATAGCTACATGTAACTGCAACTGCACGGGCTAATTACGAACAGCGGATTACAGTGCATATAAAGAGAAGCGATATCATAACATTCTTTAAATTTTAATTATACCTTTTTAGCAATTTGAAGATCATTTGGGGTGGCATTATTGATTTTGAAAATAAACTTTAAGTAACATATTCGATAAATTATTCGACTTTATTTCATCCTATACTGTACATGTATTACTTTTAACAGACGTTATTGAGAATTAATTAATTTTGAGTGACCATTGGTAAAAAAAAAAAAAAAGAAAGATGTTTTTTATTAAACAATTTGATAAAACTTAAAAATGATTTTTTAAAGAATCTATGTAATGGTATAAATCTATTAATATTAATGTGGTCGTAATCCTCCCCCCTCATTTCGACACGATTAAAAATCGACAATACTTTACAGGTAAGAACATCTAAGCTGAAGAATAACGGTAGCGGGCCCCGCCGCGGTGTAAACACGGTCTCAGGTAGCACCGTGATCAAAACCCGCGACGGTGTAACGCGGAAAGGATTAATACACCGCGGAGGGGACGCGGTCTAATACGGGATCCGCGTTGCCTGTACTGTACGGTTATAACAAATTACGGATATAGCAAAGTAATTTCATAAGTCCAAGTGACCTTGTGCTGTAAATAAATCTCATACAGTGATGGAGGCATTTGGCTTAATTTTTTTTTTCAAGAAACTTTTTTCTGTGAAATTTGTTGGTAAATCATATTTATCTCATTTTCAAATGTACAATATATGCTTGTAAAATTTTTCATTTATATAGATCTTTGTTATGGATTTTTATGAACTTTAATATGACATTAAAAAAGTAACACTCACCTAAAGTACCACAAGGTTCATTCTTATATGAACAAATGTCAAACCTAGAGAAAATACAACAATCTTTAATTCAAGAGACAATGGTACTGTATCATGAAAAAATGTCGACCTTAACATTTATTTTTATATTTTCCTCTCCATATCTCAGATCTCAAAGTTTTTTCTCGGTTCCATCCAGTTTGACACAAGGTTTTGAAAGCATAATAATAAAAGCAAGCACTGAAACAGGTAAAAATATTACTTCACTTTTTAAACAACCATTTCTTACCCTGTCAGTAGGATAGCATTATCATGATGCATTGCACCATTATCTGGAGAGGAGAGATTTAAAAGGTGCTGCCATTTACAAAACTTGTCCAGAGAATGGTCAGCATCATGATTCAATGTCAAGTTTTTCTGAAATATTAAAGAAAAATTTATAATCAGAAGATGAATGCAGATAAAAAGCATCTAAAATACTTATGGATTAAAAGCTGCAAAAATCAAGCAAGATGCAAAAACTTATCAGGAAGATAAACAATTACTATTTGCAAAATTCTTTAAGTGTTTTGACCTTGACCTGTGATAAGGAAATTTGTTCAAAGTGATAGCAACTCATCACCAAAAATTCTTGACATTTTATATGAACAAGACTTGCTGAAAAAAGATATATTTGTTAAAGGAATCAAATAAAGACAAACATGTACGTATGCATATATATTATCTCATTAAAAGCCTGATTAATGAACATGTATTGTTCTCACCTGAGGTTTTTCAAACACTATCAGTCGACTCACAACAATATTGACTGCATTTCCAATGCTGGCATCATGATATAATTTGGCCACCTGACCTCAAATGAAAATACTTTTATCTTAAAATCAACATTAAATCATAATAATCATTTTTGAACAAAAAAATCCGATTGCAATGCGCACTTAGGTGGAGCTTCAAACATATTGTGTATAACTGTACACTGCAATTGTACTCACAATATTCATAATAGACAGGACATAAGACTGTATGACTTTCTTCCCATGGTATTCCACCATTTTGTGATCGGCCACCACTAAAGTTTCCACATTTTTCTCCCTGCTGACCGCTGACCTTTTAACACGATCCCTAAATTTCAATTTATTCCAGGAATTTATTAACCCAGGATCACCAGGAGCTATGTTATCCCTCTGTCCAGGTTTGTTTTTAAGTATATCTACAATAAATCTGTACTTTTAACTCATTTTTAAAGGGAAAAAAAATCAGAACTTTACATAATTCTATTAAATTTAATTTCAGAGCAAACTAACTTTAGGCAATACGAGTGCAACAACCTCTATAGACTACTGAGTAAAAGTTACAACTTAAGTTTCATTTAATGATAGTGGATACAGCAGTCCCTTAGATATGAAGAGATTTTATAAGGAGCTTAAAGGAAACAATAATTTTTATTCCTTTACACTGCTTTTTATTTAACAGCGAGTGAAGCGAACTCAATAGACTAACGTAAGAACAGATGAAATTCGGAATGAAATCTGTACATACATCAGGCAAATTTTTGTGTGAAACATTCCCAGAACTCCTTTACTACCCAATGTCCTTTGCGTTAATAAATAAATAAATAATAACATAAAGCATAAATGTCAGTTTGTAGAAATCTTTCAAAGAAACAAAAAAATAACTCTGCAATGTTTTTCGACCAAAATTGCACTAGGTCTTTATAGTTTCAACCAGATGCTCGGCTGTCTCCATAAGCTCAGAGGAGCTCCGTGACATCGTGTGATGTCACAGCTAGTTGAGATGTGAACAGCTAGTCGAGATGTCTCATGCAACTTGATGTTTGAAGTGGCTGATAAATTTTTCAAGTGTTTTTATGGTGACACCGAAAAACATATTAAATTGTATTATAATATTCCATTAGAAAATTGTTAATAACATACATCTTATAATATCAATATCTAGACTCAGTAGTGTGCTTATTGAAGAGACAGATGAAAATAACAAGCATACAAGCTGTAATCAGGTTGGGCACACACCCCCAAATGGTCATTTAACCCCCGTCTGGTGGTCAATCGCCCATATCGGCGTCTTTTTTACCTACCAAATGGTGGTCTTTTAGTGATGGGGAATCGGAAAAAAATCAGAATCGATTATCGGTAATAATCGGCTGGGCATAATCGATTAATAATCGATTATAATCGAAATTTTGAACTTTAAGGAAATTAATATAGAAAAGTTAAAACTTATTCAGATTTCTGTCAGACATTTACAAAAAAAAACATTTACTTACATAAAATATTCAAGGAAATTAATATAGAAAAGTTAAAACTTATTCAGATTTCTGTCAGACATTTACAAAAAAAAACATTCACTTACATAAAATATTCTGGAGAGGGACGTTAAACAGTATACAATCAATCAATCAAAAATGATAACTGAAATTTCTTTTTTAAAAAGTGGAAAATATTATTTTGTTTACTTTAAAACAATATAGGACTATTGAAACAGAATGGGAATTTATTATTATTATTTTTTTTACAAAGTCCATGCAATGGGTATTTTTCTGATATTAGTCCCACCTTTCATTATTTCTTAAAATTAGTTTTAATTAGTTAAAATTGCAAGTTTTAAAAGTAATTATCCAGAAGTTAGACTTGTATTTATGTCTGATTTTAATTACGTTTAAAGATTGACTAGACTAATTATGTTTTCCTTTGCATAGTAAAACATTGCAATATTACCGTTTCCTGGTATTAGTCTAACCCCATATTTAATCATGGCGGTAAAAGTATCAACAAGATACGGAATCCTTCCATGTTTTCAACATTCATCACTACTTTTATGCTCTTTGCACTTGGATATGGTAATAAAATTAAAGTATGACAATTTTATTTTTTGTTAGCGATGTCGGCGACATTTATTTTATAATCGATTAGTAGCATCGAAGAGCTTCTAACGACCGACAATCGATTGTCGGCGACAATCGTTCCATCACTATGGTCTTTTTTACTCAAATCCAATTTTCATTGAAATAAAGCAAAAGCGCATTTACTTAGGCATTGGGGAATTTCAATTAACATATTCATCGCACATTTAATACAATTTAGTCAATTTTCCATGTGGAATTTCTGTGGAACTTCGTAAAAACGTAACCCACAGCTGTTCGTGACGGCAGAACTATTAACTCAAACAATACAAAAAATTATTTTGTTGTGTATAGTTCGGTAAAAAATACATTTAAGCATGAGGTGTTAGTCTAGAAAAGTAACTTTTAAAACGATTTTTCGATCTGCGTCTATATAAATCTTCATAAAATCCCGTTAAACACAAGCTCCTCGAATCTTATTCGTATGGTGGGCACTTAGTGCTATAATATTCATTTTTCCTACATTTGAATGTAACATTTATTCTTTGTTTTCTTTTAGGATGAAGTTACGACTTCTGTGCGACCCTTTGTGGTTTAGTATGCATATCTATGTTGTATCTACTATATTTATTAAATATTTTTTAATAAAAGATTTACAAAGTGACATTTGCAATTATTCCTGTTTTTATTCCAAGATTATGGTTTTCGAGTGATTATTTTAACATGAATTCACTGCATATCGCATTTTTATAAAGAATAAAGTCATTGCTTACGAAATAAACTAAATAAAAGTGAATTCTTACCATTCCTCTTATTTTACTTTTTGAAAATTAACACTTATGGGCCTCCGTAGTTAATTCAGTTTGGAAAAGATCGTCATTTTTGATTGGTTTAGATAATTGATCGGTTGCCCAGATGACAGAAATATGAAGTGATCAACACGATTGATAGGCTCAACTACGCGCAAGATGGAGGGAATTTTTCTTTTAAAGTTAAAACAGAGAAACGTTACACTTGTTTACATAGGTGACGATTTTGTCAATTATTTGAACGACACTGCGCAAAAAAGTCCGCGTTGAAATTTTAATTTTTTTCGTTCAGAGTACAGATAAATATCTATATTTTATTCCCCGTGAGTTGAAATTATGCGCCATTTCACGTCATTCCAGAGAACTGAACAGAACGATTTTTCTCTCCCATTTGGTGGTTAATAAAGACGCCGATATGGGCGAATGACCACCAAACGGGGGTTAAATGACCATTTGGCGGTGTGTGCCCAACCTGGTAATAGTGAGCAGCCATAAGTAAATACAAATGCACTTGCCCCAACCATCATTACTTAAGACAAAACTTTTAAACTACAACCTGTGACACCACAATGGACGTTATCTTTAGGAAACTGTATTGAAGAGCGCTTGTAGACCACATGTGGATGTCCTTTGCCACTCTCACTGGTTGTATCATTCCAGAGGGGTTCAACAAAATAATCCTCATCTTCTGTTTGAAAAATACCATGCTGTAAAAAAAATTGATAAACTATGAATGAAAAATTAACTATGGATTGATTAAATCCAATTACTACAAATTTAAGGTTCGAGGGTTTTGTTGCGAGTTTGATTTAACGTGATCGTGTTGATACTGGACTTGTCTTCAGTGAGAAAAAAAAATAATAAAGCTTTGAATCGATTGTCTTGAAATGTTTCTCATATTTTCATTTCCCATGCCTTGAAAATCAAAGCAAAATCTTTACTAAGACAGGAATTTTCCACTGGCCCGTGTAGGGCCGAATATGGGCCCCATTCCCAATTGCAAAATCACTCCATTTTTCCCAAAAATGAACAGTCTGTGTTTAATTTTTGAAAAATTCATGTAAAAGAAACATGGTCAGGTTTGAACTCTTACTGAAATGAACATAATTTTGAAGACTTTGCTAAAACTTTATGATAATAGATCTGTTTTTTGAAGAAAAGTTCTGAAAATATGAAGTAAAAAGTCAATTTTAACTATCACAAGTCATGATAAGTGTTTATTTATTGAAATGCATCTTACTATAAAATTTCCCAAAAAGTTGTAAAATGTCGTAAAAATCCCAACTGGAAGGGCCTGGGCCCCATTCCCAAAATGGGGTGGAAAATCCCTGTAAGAACAGAATACCAATCGGCAGTCCTCTCTGATTTTACCGCGCTTTTGTCTGGACAAACGGGAAATAGGCTTAGCACAGTAAAATTGAAATCGAGTACGCGATTTGTAATTTTCCGGAAAATGTTGAGAATGCTTTGAAATAGAAAAAATAGAAGGTCAATAATTTTTCAATGAAAAGTATGCTACTTAGCTTTAACTTTAAGTTTTATGTATACTTTATATAAAAATTAAGTATCCCCTTCAGAACCATTTGTAAACAAGACTCGGGCTCTAGGTCAGTTGCACTGTTGGAAGAGGTGTCTGGAAAACCTTCTTTATAACGTAAGAGTAAAAAGGATTCCTTAAATAGGAGGAAATAATTATAATCCCCTCCATTTAAAAAAATAGAAGAAAGGAAAAGAAATAACACTTTTCAATAATAAACAGGAAATCTTGGATCATTGTTAGATTCAATATCATACTTAGCCTACATTAGATTCCCATGTTAGCTCCTGAAAATTCTCAGTCTCAAATTCCTCGATTAGGCTCACGTTATACTGAACTACATGTTATACAGTGACGTAGGATCGTTTTTAAAAAGGGACAGGCACTGAAAATATCAACTTTTAAAAAAGGAAAACAAGAGGTCCATGGGCCACATTGCTCACCTGGCCTAAGTAAAAAAACACAAATCAGCGCTAGCTCAACTTTTATGTTCTTGAGATTTCTTCCTATATATTCTTATGCCCTCATTCTGGCCACATCCAAACCCGGGGGTCATAATTTGAACAAACCTGAAGCCTAAACCACCTGCTACCCACAAAATTTTTAAAGATATTTTAGTATATATTCCTATGTAAAAAATGATCCCTCATTGTGTCCCGTTCTAATTTGAACAATACCTGACTACCTGAGCCCGAGGATGCGTGGAACCATACCGGTATAAATACATGTATCGCCAATCATGGCTTTGCTGTTCTTTAGAAGAAGATTTTTTCAAAATGTTTCCTATATATTTCTATGTAAAAAAAACTTTGATTGCCAATTATGGCCCACCCCACCCTAGGAGTCATGATATGAACAAAACTGAATTTGTACTACCTAGGGATGTTTCCATATTAATATCACCTATCACAGCTTTTCTGTTCTTGAGAAGATTTTTTTTAATTCCTTTACATTCCTATGTAAAATTTTGATCAGTCATTGTACTCCTACCCCCACCTCTAAGGGTCATGAATTGAACAAACTTGAATCTACACTACCTAAAGTTGATTCCACATGAATTTCATCTCACCTGGTCCAGTGTTTCTTGAGAAGAAGTGTTTTTTAATGCCATTAATTTTTCACTTATTCATAATTACCTCCCATTTGATGAGTGCGTGGCCCAACTTGAATCCCTTTCACCCAAGGATACTTTGTGGCAAATTTGGTTGACATTGGCCCAGTGGTTTTTGAGAAGAAGATGAAAATGTGACAAGTTTAAGACAACGACGACAACGCCATAGACGACAACGACAGACAACGGACAATTTTTGATCAGAAAAACTTACTTGAGCCTTCGGTTCAGGTGAGCTAAAAAATAAAGGATTAAGTAAAGTTGTCCAAACTCGAAGATCCTATTGGGGACGAGTGAGTGTTTCCAACTCCTTTCGGTACCATTTTTTCTTACTAAAAACTACATTACCCTTATTTGAGTATATACAGGGTACTACAACACAAAGTTGGGCGAACTTTCAATGAACTAAAATAGTCTTCTTTGTTGGAACAAGAAGGACATTCATTAACATCATATGTAAATCGATCAATCTTTACACAAGATTATATACTAATGCTTGTCTTATTAGTTATTACCAAACCAAAGCAGTTGCTCATGGCTGCTGTAGAGACGTGTGGTTCACTACTGTAGCCCACGTAATGGCAGTTAAGCTTTGTATCCATCGCGAGTTCCTCCCCTTGGTCTCCGAGGGCGCCAACATAAAATGTTCTGGAAAACAGATCCCGATTTATTTCTAGTTTAAAATGGAATTCTTGTCCAAAAGCTGATATTCTGTAGAAGACCGGTGATGGGTTGGCTCCCCTGCTAAGATCTCTCCGCGATCGTCCCGTTTGATTCTGTCTGCTTTCATGGAACACATTGTAGCTCAGGAACCTTCCCTTCTCATCCACTAATGTCGGAATTACCATTTCATAATGTCCTATTCTTTTTAATAAAGTTGCTGAAAGAATTCGAAGCAAGCGAATTATTCTATACTTGACAATATGAAAAAAAATCATTATGAAATATATGAAAGGACAAGTGTATATATGAAAAGTGTATAGAAACTCTTGTGTATAGAAAATTGACAATTTTTCAATAATTACACCTTCTACTCCGAGTTGTTTTGAAATAAGATCTCTTGTTTTGTAACAACTTTTAGTTATACAATATGGTGGCATATTTCTGCCCCTTGTGTGCAAGTTATTTTTCTATCAAATATGTCGACATGCAAGATAAATATGTTGACACGCAAGATAGTTATGTCAACATGCAACATAAATATGTTGACATGCAAGAAAATTGCAATCAAATAAGTATTATAAAAAAATCTTCAAAAATCTCAAATATCGCCCACATGTGACTTCTAAAATGCTAGATGCTACTTATCTATGTTAACGTGCAAGATAAATATGTTGACATGCAACTTATTTATGTTGACATGCAACTTATTTATGCTGACATGCAAAGTTATGACATGCAAGATAAGTATTCGACAAGCAACTTATTTTGCGACATATGACATGCAACTTATTTATGTTATGCAACTTAGCTATGTTGACATGCGAGATAAATATGTTGACATGCAACTTATTTATGTAAACATGCGACATATTTTGTCGACATGCAACTTTTAAGTTGCATGTCAACATATTTATCTCGCATGTCAAAATAACCAAGTTGTTGACATAAATAAGTTGCATGTTAACATAAATAAGTTGCATGTTAACATATATAAGTTGCATGTCGACATAAATAAGTTGCATGTCAACATAAATAAGTTGCATGTCAACATATTTATCTTGCATGTTAACATAAATAAGTAGCATTTAGCATGTTGGATGTCACTTGTGGGCAATATTTGAGATTTATGAAGATTTTTTATGATGTTTATTTTATTGCAATTTTCTTGCATGTCAAACTTTGTTGCATGTCAACATATCTATCTTGCATGTCGACATATTTGATAGAAGAATAACTTGCACACAAGGGGCAGAAATATGCCACCATAATACAACCTTTTTACGAAACACGGCTTTTTAACACGCATCTACTAAATGAATGGAGAACATTTTCTATATCTATACAATTTACCTGTTTTCCTATTTTGTATCCTTAGATGCTCATTCTCGTCTTTCTGATTTTGACTCGCACTTGCAAAGATAAATTCTAAAGCACAGATACAAACGAATCCCAGAACTTTCATAGTAAGATTTTCGAACTTTGACACCAATAATGGCTGAAGTCCAAACTCACAGGTATACTTCGTAGCAAACTTTCCATAAATTAACGAAAGTGAAAAAAAAAATTTTTTGTTCTAACACTTTTCCTTTAATGCTATCTACTGTAAACTTTGAGTTAGAGATGAAATGTCCCGAGCCGAGCGTTTACTATGGTGTGAGTAAATAAGAGTAATTCCATTCAAGCTCAGGCCCTGATTCAGCAAACTTCCTCGTTTCCAGGGTTAATGTCCACACTAACTCGGTTGCATTGCTGTTTGCAATATAGACTTTTCTTTCTCAATCATCAATCACTTAACCGTGTCCATCACCATAATTTGCTTTCAATTTTTCAAAGCAAGCTCACCAAATTTAATTTGCATGTGATTAGAACATGAAAAATCTGTTCCAATGCCGTTTCGGCTTCAGAATAAATTTTGTGTTTTAATGATTTGAATTGATATTTAAGGCGGGCGAAAGTGGCGGACCCTGTCTTTAGAACATTTCACGGAGAACCTCTTTCAAACAAAACCTACTTTGTAGTCACTGAGACTAATCATACATCTTAGATTCTTGGACACAGATTTTCACACAGTATCTTTAACCTGGTCAGTAATTACTGTACCTCCTTAAATTAAAGCCCAGAGGTACCCGAGGGGTCTTTTTCAGTAATTGCGACACCCTGTTGAGGTCAAAGCAACCGAATGCAAAGGAAAATGGACGGATTAACAGTACAATGACACAGTGTAGATTGGAGAAAATCTCCCCATTGTAAGAGAGGCTGAGGCTTTAAACCACAAATTGATTGAGCTAACGTTTAATTGGCATATGGCGCTGTGTGGTATTCTGTCGGTAACCTTGCACAGACCCGAAGTAAGCGTGGATGGATGACGATTTTGTACGAAAGGTGCAGATCTTCTATGCACAATTTAACAAGCCTGTGTGGTAATCCATTGATATGGCACAAGTGTTTCAACAGCCAGTAAAAAATAAAGAATATATGCGAAATAGGCAAAAACGACTTATGTCGGAGTCAATACTCGGACGGGCATTGTGCATGGTTTTGTTTAACGTCAAATTGTACTAGAGAAGTATACAAAATTATGTGAAAGCTTTAAAAAGATGGTACTTTATTAATATATTTTGTTCTTTTACTTTCTTTTACCTTTTTCGAGAAAAGTCATAGTGTACACTTGTATCAGTTATAATGTGCATGTTTCAGCAATATTGTTGTAAAAGTTGAATAAATTGTAAATCTAATTTTAATGCTTCTGTCGTATTAATAGTCATAATTTTCAAATAAAGGAAAAATAATTGTTAGAAATACTCCTTTAGATTGGGAAAAAATCGAATTGTTCTAGTAGAGTTTTGGTACCAAACACAGGTACGTACCACTTTAATGAAAATGTCTACAAATGCCACACAAATCGAGATCTTAAATGTTTCTAGCTCACGCTTATTTAAGTTTCAGATTTCGTCTGAGAAATTAATTATATGCTACAAGAAATGTTTACTGTGTTGAACAAAGTAATAAGGTTAACAATTATTTACGTTTGAAAATTTGAAAGATGATTAAATTTTTGTTTATTCTTAAGAATTCGCCAATTCTTCAATCTCTCTTCTAAATTATTTTATATAGGATCCAAAAATGTACCAGTTGACTGTCGCGTTTTTTGGTTAATCGTGCTAAAAATTTCCTTGCATTCTGGAAATTTAATATTTTAGTTATCATTAACCATTAGCTGGATAAAGGAATAGAGTTAAGCGCTGGATTGCCTGATTTCAGGTTTAGTAACCTATATAACAAATTTGTGCCCGGGGTCCTGCTGGTTGCGTACAATTCCTGCCTCCGTTTACCGTGGCGATCAGGTAGAGCGAGGCATCACCTGGTTACTTATCCCCCTCCATTATTCAGCGTGTTCCCCCTTCTTCAAACAAACATTACATGAACCCAGAGGGTGATAATGGGAAATCAAGACCATTACACAGCGCCTCATTAGAATCAGAAAATTCCAAGTTACCGTTGATTTTCTTATTGAAAGCACCAGCATAGGTATACTTCTTTTTTGCTGAACTATATTTATTGGTGGCCTATTAAATTTCTTTGCGTTGGTCATTTTTTTTTTTTTTTTTGGTTATGGGATATTACATCTCTTGTAAAAAGGTATACAGCTAAAGTTAGTCGAAAAATGTTCCATGAAACCCTACAGACCCTACCTAACCTAACCTCAGCTATTTTTGTCCTTTTTTCAAGATTTCTGAATTATTAACTGTACACGACGATTAGCGTGCAGACACCATATATATAGTCACGTTTTAAAAATCAAGTTTTCAAACATGTAAAAAAAAAAATAATACAATGGCATTGCCCATCGTTACAAACAGCAAATTTTATTAACTATTTCTTTGTCAATCGCAAAAAAATTCTATTAATTAAAATCAGTTGGGAGACATAATTTACCATACACACACAGGTTATGTACAAATTCTAAAAAAAAGGGGGGGGGGGGGGGGAAAGGTGACGGCGCTGGAAAAACTGAAAGAAAATACATGTAAATATATTGTTATAAGATATAAACGTCGTCGATATATCTAAATGCCAAGATGAAAGCCACAGAAAGAGATTTCATCTTTTCAGTAGGATTTTTTAAAAATAAAATTTATTTTCAAAAAATCCTAGCTACTTCCAAGGAATATCGACAGGTCGTCTTGAAATAAGCACATTAGGTGCCCATCGCAATTCCAACAGTCTGAGATTGTCGGATATCATGAAACAGCTTTAGACTCATCATTTCAACTGAGCTACGGTCCGGCTCTCTCCTACCCATGGAATTGAGAATAAACAGAGACATATATGTCTCTGGAATAAATTAAAGAGGATTGTACCAGAACCATATACTTTTATGTACATGTAATTCTGTAAATAGTCCATCTGTCTTAGAATTATGAAAGGAGAGTCACTTGTGGGTGCATGTTTGCGACGATGATTCTGGTCATTCCTTAAACATGTAAATTGAACATTTATTAGAAACTAATTCTTAATCGTCACTTCAAATTAAAATACACAGCGTGAAAGGAAAACAATTTTTTAAAATAAGAAATACCTAAAAATTTATTTGGTTTCTTTCGTCATTTATTTAAAAAAGTGACGAATTTTGACATAAGATTTAAGACTGCTTTATGATCATGGGGTTCTGATCTCCAATACTTTTTACCAATATTAGTAGAATGAGAAAACCTAGGTCCACTCCTGGATCATCGACAATAATAAAGTGAAAGTAAAACCGGAAGTCCTGATTTGCAGAAGGAATATGGCGACGATAAACAAGCAGAAAACAAGTACCATTTTGGATAAACCTCTAGGGAAAGGAAAACCAGAGGTATTCCATTATATATATAACTGAATCGAAAATTATCAGCCCCACTTTGCTCTGAGAGTCCGAATCCAGAATTCACACTTAACAAATAGCTTTTATTTTCACCTGTGATGCTTTCACCAGGTTGGGAGAAAAATTCCCCTATAATGAAATTATCATGCTATTTAAAGCGCGATTATCCCTCTTTCGTGGATGAATAAACATAGCAATAAACAGGTGTTTTATTGTTATATTTTAGCCTTTAAAATAAACAAGAATTTATTTTGTGCTTTTAAAAATCCAGCAGAAAAATTTTGCTGGCATTTCCTCTGTTAAGCCCGTGTCACACTGTCACGATTTATAGCTACGATTCATTGCGAATTCAAAATTCGCAGCAAATCGGGATTTATCGCAGAAGTACTCGTATATATATCTTCCTTAGTCGTGTTGGATCGCAGCAAATTGCCAAACCTGGCGATTGTTTTGAGCATGTTCAAAACAATCGTGCACACACAGTACGATTTTTAATTATTCGTAGACAATCGCACAGCACCGCACTGCACTCGTACTCATATTCGTAGTAAATCTTCGAAGTTCGTGCGACATTCGCGGAACTTCGTAGTACTTGCGACACTACGAGAGCCTACGAGTTATTTCGAGTGTCCTTCGAGTTTGTGCGAGTGTCATTCGAGTTAGTTTCTGCGAGTGTCCTACGAGATACTGCGAGTGTTCTTCGAATTGATAAGAACATAGTACGACTTTCCCGCGAATATGATACGCAAAAGGACGATTGATGGCAAGTGCTGTACGAACACTGTGCGATTGAACTACGAGTTAATACGACGTAGGCAGACGGTGCCTGATGTTAACACTGTCGAAATCAAAATACTGCCTAAAATAAAAGGAAAGAAGCTTAGAAAAGTGAAATAAATTCAATATACATGTGTAACAGAAACTATAAACACCGTGTACAATGATCACATGAAGAGATTGAACATAATCAAAAGTTCCACACTGTAGTTTTTACCATTATCAAATAACATAACTATGATGATGAATGATATCATACAAATCTTCCTTTACTCTATATATGCATTCCATTACATGTATATTCGTAAGAAGTCGCCATTAGTCGTGGGATTATCGTGTATGTAACGTGGCATATCGTAGTTCTTCATACGAGTATCGTATGTAACCGCGTTTAATCCTTCATAATCGTAGAAATATCGTAACCAGTTCGTAACGCTGTCGCATCAGTTCGTACTTAAATCGTAGAAACCTCGTACTTTGTCGCACAGACATCGCAGACACACCACTCTAGCAGCAAAATATTCCACACGCTGTAGAAAAATCGCAAAACAAACCTGGCGATGAACGGCGATTTTCAACTTTTCTTAATTCGTGGGTAATCGTAGCATAAATCGTGACAGTGTGACACGGCCTTTACACTGTAATTAGTGTAAAACTGAGAACAAGCTTCCAGACACTCACTTCTGCATGAAAAGACAGGAGACTGACATCGTTTCAAAATCGTTCTCATTTCAAAGTTTTAGAATTTTTACCTTTTTATATATATTTATTACTTTAGTTTTGAATTTAAATTTATGAGACAAACAGGGCTAGATTAGAAGCAATGTAGCATACATTTGACATTGAACCCAATGCAAATTACAAGACTTCCATAATGCACACAAGGAGTGGACACTTTTGTGATACATGTATGGACAAACTAACCCACCCACACACATACAAGTGCGTTACTTTCTCTCCTCCAGCTTCCACCCCATTCACGTTATTGCTAAAACAAATCTTCGAAAACAAATATTTTCTCAGACTACTGTACAGCAGGAAATTAACTCGCGGAGTTAATTTTCGCTATATTCGCACAAAAAGAAATTCTGCGAATTCAGCATACAGTGAATAATTCCTTAAAAAGTTTTATAAGGATAAATTGAAATTTTATTAGTTTCTGTGATTAGATGTAGTCTGTCTTTATTAATTATGCGAGTGTCTGGATCAATTACAAACACGCAGTTGTTGCTGTTTTTAAAGCTTATTAATTTTTCAATTCATTTTTATAGCTAACGATTAATTTTGCCATCTAGTAGACGTGCGATGTAATTATTTAATAAAACATGCTTGTTTAATTTCACCCGTGCCTATCACTCAGTCATTACCTTTAATCAAGGCATTTACTTAGTAAACAGGGTAACGACAATTAATTAATATCAATTACATGATTAAAAGTTCAACATTTTTACTACGGTACAATTTTTTTTCTGATTTGGACCCGGTTATAAAAAAAATAAAATGCGTAGCATTATTTTAACTTCAATGCGGGATCAGTCTGGTGTTTCGTTATTATTCAATCGGGATCAAAATCGACACAATATATAGACTACTTTTCTGTCTGATATGCGCGATATACATGATTACAGATTTTCGTAATATACTATAGAGACGGGAAATAGCAGTTCACACAATATATACCTACAGAAAAATGCTTGCAAGTACTGTTTAAGAAATTTTTGGTTTTTCCTTTTCCGCGAATTCAAACGACCGCGATTTGCTGAAAATTGAACAAATCGCGATCTTTCCCGACGGCGATTTTAACCTGCTATACAGTTCTTGATTTTTGGCAGGGCTGACAACTTTTACCAACAGTCAGTCCTGCATGTTTAACTTATTTTACATTGAGATTCAAACACTTAGGCTATGAGAAGAAATTTTTAATGGACTAAGCAGATTGCTGATAAAGAACACCAGAGCCAAATTAACTCATGGTCCTCTTGTCAATACATGTATATTTATGCAATTTATTATAATTTTTTTTATCATTTTAGGTTAATGTTGCTACTTTTGCCCTCTTGTTCTCGGAGATGGTACAATACTGCCAAAACAGAGTATACAGTGTGTCTGAGCTTCAAACAAAGTGAGTAAATCTCTGTTTGTTTAATTAATAAGATTTTAGAAAGTTTCAAAGTTTGAATACACATATTAAATTTATTGTACTTCTGTTAGAATGTTTCCTATATAAAGTTCAGAAGGTAAAATAGCTATCTTTTATAGTTCAGGCATAGCAAAGCTATACCCTGGGGTATAGTTTTTGCTGTCCACCCTCGGAAAATTTTCATGCAATTTTTGCCTCCAATTTTGATTTCCAGCGATAATCTATTGACTGATGATGTCATAATGATTTCAGTAGCATTGTGACGTCATCGGGATTTCCAAGCAAGCCCTCGGGGAATAGTTCCCTGTCGCGGGTTTGATAAAAGAGCTATCCCACTCACAACCAGTGGATAAGTGTATAATACCACATGTGAAAATGTTTAAGATGCCAGGAATTCTTAATTAATTTATGCCTGAATACAGGTGAAATGAATGCATTTTGTATGCTTTAATTTTAGATGCGAGTTTTTATATCACTTTTTTAGGTAATGACTGGAGAGGTGATTTCCTCTCACCTGAGTCAGTGTTGAGTTACTGTTGGGTCTATCATCTGTGATATTTTCTTATTTTTAATCTTACTCTCTAGAACCACTGAGCAAATCTCAATGAATCCTGCTACAAAATATACCTGGTACTTGGATATCGGGGATTCAATCTTTTTCAATTAAAAGTCATGCAGTTATCTCTTTTAATGGGATTAACTTTGTCATGTGAAAATTTAGACAAAGCATTCTCAGTGCAGAATCAAGTAAATCCAAGTCATGGTCCACATGGTTCTTGGTATGATGGGGGCTACTATTGGTTTTGATGAATTGTGTTGCCATGGTTACTAAATGAAAATTTGAGAATAGTTTTATGGTCACTAAGCCTGTACATGCATTTTGGTAAAGTTAACTTTGTATTTTCTCACAAAATAATTAGTTAATTCTTCCAGATTACAATTTAAACCACTAGTGTCAGATTATCTAATTAGTTTTAGATACATATTAGAGGAATAACTGTCAGATATTTGGGTTTTATGATGTGATCATGCAATTGGCTGCATGATAATTTTAATGCATAAATGCTTTCAGCATTAATTTTATGCAAATTATCACACATGCCAATTGCTTGATTCCATCCAAAAAAAAAAAAAACCTGTTATTCCTTACATATACATGTTCTTCACGTGGTTCTGTAAATTCATGTGCTGTAAGCCCCACCTACATTTTCTACTCATCTCTTTTCTCCCCTGCTCACTTGATTTTTTTTTAAATCATGCTTATCGATGAACCAGTAGTTTTTTGTCAAAAAAAAAAAAAAAAAAAACTCATAAAAATAATTTTTTTTATTGTAATAATTGGTCAGATTATGAGCTAGTTTTTGTAAGTATACCCTATCATTGAATTATATTTTTTCAGATTATCAGAGTTAGGCCAACACGTTGGTTCTCATATGCTGGACCTACTGTTTGTCAGAGAGAAGGGATATAAAAGGGAAACAAAGCTCCTCAATATGCTCTTATTTATAAAGAACAATTTCTGGAAGGTAAAATTTCCCAATGTTGACAGAGTTATTTTTAGTTGCCTATAATTAGAGTTTGGATTATTAAGATTGGCGGGGTATTCATGGGTTGTGAAATCCTGAACTGAAGCCTCAGGTGCAGATTTAAATTTTCTGCTGAGTCAGGGATTTTATCCATGGTTGATTTTTAAATACCTAGAATTAAAAACACTTATCTCTTTAGATGAACAATTGTGAGCTATGTCTACAAATGAAATTAAAAATAAAGGTGTCTTATAAATTCATATTCATGCAAATGGTTGGCAATCATATGGTTTAACAAAATGCAATAAAAATGATGTGGTTTATTTTTTGTAGACTTTGTTTGGAAAGGAAGCAGACAGATTAGAGCATTCCAATGATGACGAGAAAACTTGTATCCTTTTAGCTTAGACCATCTCAACCTTAGATCATTTCAACCTTAGATCATCTCAACCTTAGATCATTTCAACCTTAGATCATTTCAACCTTAGATAACTCTCTTCATACCTTTAAAAATGAATAAATCTATATAGAAGGGCTGTTTGGAAATAAATTAAAAATTTTTGCTTTTACTCCATACAGTAATAGAAGAAAAAGATCAGTTCATGAAAAATGACAGAATTTTATCAAGAAGAGCTAAATAATACAAATTTATAATTTTCTTTGCTGATAGCTTCGATAGATTTTTAGCTCACCTCAACCTTAGACCATCTCAACAGGTTAAGGTTAAGTTTTTTGGAGCAGTTTTCTTTTTAATTACTTCTGTGTCCTATATTGATTAGATATGCATGGAAGATGGTTTTAGTGTGTTTTATTGTACCAGACAAAGTTTCAGATGCTGCAATTTCAGCAAAGGAATTACCAGGTTAATGTTTTTGGAGCAGGTTAACATTTTTGGTGCAGTTTTTGGTGTGGGTTTCAAAAAGTAACTATAAGCCCTATGTTGACCAAACTTGCATGGATGATACATCTAAAAATTTACCGGGCTTGCTTCGGATGCAGAATCTGACCTACATTTTCAGGTTGAGTGAACAGGTTAAAGTTTTCGGTGTAGGTTTCATTTCCAAGTAACTATAAGGCCTATGTTGACCAAACTTGCATGTATGATACATCTAAGGATGCATACTACCGGGCTTGCTTCGGAAATTTATACATTTTCCTTTGAGTGAACAGGTTAAAGTTTTTGGTGCAGGTTTCATTTCCAAGTAACTATAAGCCCTATGTTGACCAAACTTGCATGGATGATACATCTAAAATTCTTCGGATGCTGATACTGACCTACATTTTGCAGTTGAGTGAACAGGTTAAAGTTTTTGGTGTAGGTTCATTTGAAAGTAACTATAAGCCCTATGTTGACCAAACTTGCATGGATGATTTTTTAGGATGCAATACCGGGCTTGCTTCGGATGCTGAATCTGACCTACATTTTTTGAGTGAACAGGTTAAAGTTTTTGGTGCAGGTTTCATTTCCAAGTAACTATAAGCCCTATGTTGACCAAACTTGCATGGATGATACATAAGGATGCATATACCGGGCTTGCTTCGGATGCTGAATCTGACCTACATTTTCCAGTTGAGTGAACAGGTTAAAGTTTTTGGTGCAGGTTTCATTTCCAAGTAACTATAAGCCCTATGTTGACCAAACTTGCATGGATGATACATCTAAGGATGCATACTACCGGGCTTGTTTGATGCTGAATCTGACCTACATTTTCCAGTTGAGCGAACAGGTTAATGTTTTTGGTGCAGGTTTCATTTGCAAGTAACTTTAAGCCCTATGTTGACCAAACTTGCATGGATGATACAACTAAGGATGCACTCTACCTGGCTTGCTTCTGTTGCTGAATCTGCCCTATTTTTCCTGTTGAGTGAATAGTTAAAAGTTTTTGGTGCAGGTTTCATTTCCAAGGAACTATGAGTTCTTTAATGACCAGTCTTGCACAGATGATACATCTAAGGACGCATACTTCCAGGCTTGCTTCGGATGCTGAATCTGACCTACTTTTTGTGGATGAGTGAAAATGTTAGTTTTGATGCATGTTTCATTTCCAATAAACTTTGAGTCTATAATGAGCAAACTTGCATGGATGATACATCTAAGGATGCACACTAATGGACTTGCATGCTGAATTGGACATACATTTTTCAGATAATAGACAAGGTAAAAGTTATGGTTGCAGTCTATTACCAAAAACTATAAGGCTTATATAACATTGTATAAACCAAACTTGCACAAATGCTGCATCAAGAGATGAAAACTCTCAAATTTTTCAGATGCTGGATTTTCATCACATTTCATGAAGCAACAAGTAGTTTAAATTTTTTATGTAGGTCTATTTCAAAGTATCAGATCAAAATTGCTTTTAAAGATATTTTCATTTTTGGAATGTATACTTTTTGTTGGTTAATTGTGTGACTTTGCCTTACTTAAAGACAACATTCGTTGAGGTGAGCTCTGTAATCTCTGATTACCTATGTTTCAGCTTATAAGTAACATCAGGTAACTGTGCTCCATTGTAATAATTATTAGAGTTTTCTCATTGCTTCAGCGTTAATTTTTTTCTCCCATTGAAAGTAGCAGGAAGCATCAACTGTTATTTTTTAGTGTAATTTCTAGAAACCAAGCATTTTTAAATCCATTTTTAAATGTGCTGTTGCTGAGCTAATAATGCCAAGCTAAAATAAATATCCTTGAAATACCTCTTACGAGGGTTGTCCCAAAATTCCTTGTACAGTCAAACATGTATAGTTCAATCATTATCAACTGAAAGAATGGTGACATTACCTCATCCATAAAAACTGATTTTCAGCTTCTTTCCCTCTACTATTGTTGAATGCTTTGAAAACAAAAAATGTTTAAATGCATGAACAGGAATTTAAAGTCCCAAGCTCTTTTTTCTGGAAAATAATCGAATGACGTAATAATTTTTGAAAATTTAAGTCATTGAAGTTGCATTGAGGATGGCAGATGACTAGTTATAATTAGCATCATGTTGATTGATGATCAGTCAGACATATTGCAAGTATGTACTTCTTGAAAAATAACTACCGGTAATAAATTCAGGTTATAAAATTGTCTGTTGTTAATAAACCTGTGGCATGTTGATCATGTACACAGAAAATATACTTGAATATGCAGTCTAAGAATAATTTCCTTATAATACCACAGATTATATTATAGAAACAGAACACCTAGTCAACAAATATATATCTGTCCCTAAAGACAAAGGTAGGCAAGTTTAAGCTTACTCCATTAACATTGTACATGTATTTTGCTTGAAAAGAACATGACCACTTTTTTGTTTGCCCTGTCCTGACTTGGGATAAAGATTTGATTGGCAGACAATATGATCATTGTTAGGCTCCAAAATTCAAAGATTTTTCAATTTTGAAAAAGGAAGTGTCATTTATGCCAGATGTCCATGAGTAAGAAATTTTCAAAGGGTTAATATATTTCAATACATGTCTATGACCATAATTTTGATGACAGTTGACAATCGAACAGTTTGTTTCATACTAGCTTCATTAATAGTATAATGCTTCAGACTAGGGCTGTCACGGGTACCCAAAATGACCCGGAACCGCGGAACATTTAATTCGGGTCAGGTACGGTTCCATTTTTACGAAATTCGGTTCGGTTCCCATTTGTATAGTAGAGTAGGTTTTACCATAAAAATGGCGTCAAAAACGAGAGATTTGTTAGTACATTGCCATTATAAGGTGATTTAAATAATTTGGTACAATTGTTTTCTACTCAGGAAACTTTAAACTAGTTACAATGTTTCTATTTCTAAGATTAAATGAAAATTTTCTCTTTGTTGTTGAAAATAATACAAATCATGAGCTTTTATGCCATTACCTACCCGAACCGAAAAACCCGAAACCGAACCTAAAAAATTCAGAACCGACCCGACCCGAAAATTTTTGGAACCGTGACAGCCCTACTTCAGAGAAGAGTAATGCATTTAAAGATGACTACCGATTTACACAATTTATAAAACTTCATGTACTTATGTTTCATCCTTTAAAGATTCTGAACGTTAACTTTATACATTTTGAATATGCTAGTTGTATTTTGTTCTTGCTAGTTGTTATACAGCAGCAATCTGATTGAAAGGTAATATGAGAGGAATAGGAAACTCACTTAAATATAATCAATAGGATTTATTAACTAAACAGGTATTTTCCAAAATACATTTTACTTTTTAGTAAAAATGTTATTTCTTAAATTAAAAACAAGTAAGTATGCCTAAAGTGAGATACAAACAAGGTCACAAGGTCATTGACCTTGGTGTCATTTTGAAAGAGCTTGATTAGTGGAGTATGCTTACCAAATATGAAATCTCAATCTCTCATGGTTCAAAAGTTAAAGTGAGGGGTCAAAAAAGCTATTTTTAGCATATAGGTCACAGTCAAGGTCACAAGGTCATTGATCTTGGTGTCGTTTGGAAGAACCTGATTAGTGAAGTATGAATACCAAATATGATGTCTCTATCTTTCATGGTTCAAAAGTTATGGCGAAGGTTAAAGTTGGCAGAAAAAAAGCTATTTTTAGCATATAGGCCACAGTAAAGGTCATAAGGTCATTGACCTTGGTGTCATTTGTAAGAAGTTAATTAGTGGATTATGCATACCAAATATGAAGTCTCTATCTTTCATGGTTCAAAAGTTATGGTGAAGGTTAAATTTCGAGACAAACAACCAACCAGACAAACAAACAGACAGACAGACAGATAGGACAAAAACAATATACGCCCTGGATCTATCGATCCGATAAAAAATGCCTTCGCATATCAAAGCTTAAAGTTTTAACAATGCTTGGTTCTGTAGCTTTCTGGTTTTCTGTATGAATTTTCTTAATCAGAGAGTTAGTTCTGCAGCTAGCCTCATACTTGTGTATGAGTTGAATATATTCTGAATATATTCTGCTGAAATGAAACTTGTCTAGATATTGATCTGGGTATACACAAATAGTGAATTTGCCTAACTGATAGATGACATTCATTGGGGTAAGTTTCATATTAACCAATGTTTTCATTTTACAGGTAAACTGAATTGTGCGGCATTTACTGCTGGTATAATAGAGGCTGTACTCAATGGAGCAAACTTTGTAAGCATTTCTATGATATTAACAATTTTATTTCTCTCTTGGTTCTTTGACTTGAATAACATATATTTTGTATTCTTTATTTTAGCCTGCCAAAGTTACAGCTCACTGGCATAAAGGGACAACATTTATGATAGAATTCGATGAAACTGTTATAGCCAGGGATAAAATGGTGTAGAATTGGAATGAAACGTGTAAGTTTTGTGATTTATTGTGCAGACAGCTGGAAGTGTTTTGAAACAATTCTGCAGTGAACAATCGTCTTCTCATGGCATTGGAGCTATTAAGATGAATACAAGACTGAATGAATGTTTTTAAACTTTATTGTTCAAAATTAACAAAGCTAGTATTTAATTACAATAAATACAGTTTATCTAACTTTGTAAAATATTTTAACAACCTTTCTAATAGACAAACGTGCAGCCAAGTATGCCAAATGGAAGGTGAACAATGGCGGCTTCCAAGAGGCAAGAAAAAGACACACGTGAGATACCTTAATGACAGATACCATAATTAAGTTAACTTAGACAAAAATAAACAATTCAGGAAATAACACATTCAGTGTTATATATTAAACATGTCAAAGTCAAATGAAAGGAAGAATTCTTAAATAGTTAAAACAAAGATAAAAATACACAGTTTTCTCAGTTTAAAATAGAAACATGATTTGGATTCAAAGAACACTGAAAATACGTAAAATTGACAATGAAATGTAATAACAATTCAATAAAAGTTTCTTTGTTAAATAAATATATATTTCACAAGAAAGAAACCTTTCTTATTGTGTCACACACCCTTTCCCTCTCATGAAATAAATATGTTATTTAACAAAGAAATCTGCCATAACTTCTGTCTACACAACAGTATCAATTTACATATTCATAAAAGATTTACCCAAGGAATAAGATAAATGGGTCATGATAACTGTAGAAATGTTAATTGATGGAAGAACTATTCAATATCAGTCATGATTATATATGTATGTTGCCAGGGTAGCAATGAAATTTTCACAAATTTTCGTTCAATAAAAGTTTCGGAGTTGAATAAACTTGAATAGTAATATCATTTATACATGTATATGTATATTGCAAAAAACAGTATCATACTGAACACAATGTTAGATCTTTGATACTACATAGGGATCCCTTCCTTCTCGACCTCCCCCCCCCCCTTTCTCTTTGTCCGGGGTCGTAGCTACCTTATGGATGTCATGGAGAACACACTCTTTTTGTCCTTGCTGACAGCGGATTTCTGCGCTGCTTTCTTCTGTTCATCGAGTGTGAAACACTTCCAGATTCTGAGCGTTTCGTCGGCTCCAGCAGATACCACTGTCTGTCCGTCAGGTGACATAGCCATGTGTAAAACGCGAGCCGTGTGACCTAGATGTATTAACAAACAGTTGTCATTTATATGGGAAATTGTCCAATGTTAAAATTAATTTTCTGAAGATGTCAGAGTGTGTAATCATAAATGAAATTTGCCTTTTCTTGGGAAGAAAATGATGAGTTACCTGATAACTCGGATACTTTGGTCATTGTAGGATATTTCCAGATGGTGAGCTGATTCAGAGCGAAGCCATGACTAGATATCAACTCTTTGTAATTTTTTGACCACAGCAGAGCACACACCTGTAAAAAATTGAATTATTGAGTAAAAGTATAAAAGATATATAAAAATTTAATATGAAAAGATCTAAAGTCTTATCTCACAAAAACCTTTTTTTCAATTATGATTTAAAATATTTGTGAAGAGAAGGAACAAGTTGGTGTATGGATAATTTTTACAACCACAATTTCATGTGTTATACCCATATGTAATGGTTCTTATAAAACTGTTAAAAATTGTTTGCATGATTACTAAAGTGGAACTGTTAAAATTGATTAAGACTGTTCACTGACATGATATCATGGCTACTAGTAACTGTTCAACACAGAATTAAAGTTTTTCTCAACAAATTTTACTAAAGTGTTCATTCACTTTAGTGCTAGAATATTTGTCACAGCCACTTGCCCGAGGACAAATAGCCTAAAATTGCACATCAGTTTTTGTCAATTTTTATTTTTATTCTCTGACATGGACACCCAGGAGTCTTCAATCTGATTAAACATTACGGATGTGTCTACACTGTCTACAAATGTTCCTGTGCTTGTACAGTTCCTTGTATATATTACATGTTGCTTACTTGTGATTTTGTGCCAACACATGTTCTGTTGCTACAATAATATTTAGTTGTTGCTTCTTTGTGACTTATGTCTACAAATGTTCCTGTGCTAATACAGTTCCTTGTATATACATGTATTACTTGTTGCTTACTTGTGATTTTGTGCTTACAGATGTTCTGTTGCTACAATAATATATATAGTTGTTGCTTCCTTGTGACTTATTGTCTACAAACGTCTCTGTGCATATACATGTACAGTTCCTTGTTTATATACTTGTTACTTACCTGTGACTTTGTGTCTACAAATGTTCCTGTGCTTACCCAGTTCCTTTTATATATATTAGTTTTTGCTTACCTGTGACTTTGTGTCTACACTGTCTACACACGTCCCTGTGCTACAGTTCCAGAATCGGATATGTCTATCTGCAGTGCCACCTCCACTGGCCAATAGATGGGGCTGCCAGGGACACCAAGCCAAGGCCTACAAATAAATACATGTAAATATTTAGGAGGATTCATTCTGGAGTCATTTTAGTATCAACTGCAAATTAAGTGTTTTAGAAAATCAATTGACAGAAAATTTGCAACCAATCTAGAGCTATGGAATTCTAGAGAATTTTTTTTTTTTAAATTAAAAACATGAGCAGAAATCTTAAAAAATTAAAACATTTCCTGTTTCAGCAAAATCACACAAATAAGGTCACTGTAAACTCACCTTGACTGCAGCCTGATGTTGTGAAAATGTAAACATGGGTGATGAGTCAGTGAGAGGACTACCCTGCTGGGCCCCCCAAATGTTTAGGAGGTTATCATTCCCTCCACTGGCAAGGAACTTCCCATCAGGGGACCACTTCAGGCCACATAGCTCCTGGGTGTGGCCCAGCAGTGTGCCTACATGGTGATCTGCCACCCTCACATCATGATGGTGAATGGCTCCACTCCGTGAACCACTACAATTTTTAAGGTAAGTCACTCGTCAGTTTTTTAGAAAAGTTCACGCAGAAGCTTTTACTTCAAAACTACTTATTAAATTTCAATTTTTATAACATATTTAAATTTAACAATGTAAATTTTTTAACATTCAATGAAAAAACTGCTCAAAAATCTACAAAGAAGCAAGATCTATGAGGGACTATTTCTTTTGGTGGAAGGATATTTAGCAGAAAATTCTGCAAATCTGCACATTTATAAAATTTAATGTAATGGAAATTTAGCCTCACATACTTTTAAACGGAGAATATTTTCCGTTTTGATATTGCTAAAAATATTTAATATAGGTCTGAATTTATATTTTTAGACTAAGTTTTATATCTTCCCTCAACAAACTTTTCCAAAAAATAAAAATATATTAAAGAAGTCAAGGTCAAATTTACACCATTTTTTGCCTGAAAATCACATATTTTGACTAATATTTCAAAATTAGCATCACTGACCCCACCTTTTTCTTTCATTATTTTAAACTACTCGATACTTGTGACTGATCAGCACTCAAGTCGTAAAAAGTTTGATATAAGAAAATTTTTTATTGCCTATTAAATTTTTCAAGACCCCAGATATGTTATTTTTTAGTGCAAAAAGGTTTCAATAATTTACACGCATTAATTTGCAAGATTTGTTTAATGATAAATATTATTCAAACTATTTTACGTAAAATAAGATTATATTTATCGCCATGCTTACATCTGTACAAATATAATAAGGGTTAAAGTAATTAACCAAAGAGATGAAATTTAAGTGCAAAAAGGTCAACTTAAGTGTACCGTAGATCAGTAGGATGCACACTGACCCCCTATTTTCACTGCGATTTTGAGTTACACTTTATGAGTACTTATCCAAAATATACTTCTCAAAAAATCCTTGATATAAGAAATTTCAGGAGTGACTTACCTTAATTAATAATAGACAACATTTCAAATAAAATATCAGTTGCTTAATACTTAACCAGAAGTCTCTGTCGAGACTGTAGCTCTACTGGTTTGTACTTATCAAAAACCATTGCACTATTTTATGTATCTTTGTGTAGTCTACCCGGTACTTGTGTGCCAACTTATTTTGAAATCAAACTAAAACTGTAAAAGGAGTAGCGTTTTAAAGGAATTTCACAAATTCTATTTTTAGTAACCATGGTAACACCATTCATCGAAATTAAAAACTGATGCTCTATTCTATGTATCTTAGTGTAGTCTACTTGTGTGCTAAGTTATATTGAAATCAGACCAAAACTGTAGAAGGAGTAGCGTTTTAAAGGAATTTCACAGAAAATTCTATTTTTAGTAACCATGGCAACACCGTTCATCGAAATTAAAAACCAATGCACTATTCTATGTATCTTAGTGTAGTCTACTTGTGTGCCAAGTTATATTGAAATCAGACCAAAACTGTAGAAGGAGTAGTGTTTTAAAGGAATTTAAGTGTTTTAGTAACCATGGCAACACCGTTCATCGAAATTAAAAAACCGATGCACTATTCTATGTATCTTAGTGTAGTCTACTTGTGTGCCAAGTTATGTTGAAATCAGAACAAAATTGTAGAAGGAGTAGTGTTATAAAGGAATTTCATAGAGAATTCTATTTTTAGTAACCATGGCAACACCGTTCACCGAAATCGAAAATTGATGCACTGTTCTATGTATCTTAGTGTAGTCTACTTGTGTGCCAAGTTATATTGAAATCAGACCAAAACTGTAGAAGGAGTAGCGTTTTTAAGGAATTTCACAGAGAATTCTATTTTTAGTAACCATGGCAACACCGTTCACCGAAATCAAAAATTGATTCACTGTTCTATGTATCTTAGTGTAGTCTACTTGTGTGCTAAGTTATATTGAAATCAGACCAAAACTGTAGAAGGAGTAGCGTTTTAAAGAAATTTCACAGAAAATTCTATTTTTAGTAACCATGGCAACACCGTTCATCGAAATTAAAAACCAATGCACTATTCTATGTATCTTAGTGTAGTCTACTTGTGTGCCAAGTTATATTGAAATCAGACCAAAACTGTAGAAGGAGTAGTGTTTTAAAGGAATTTCACAGAAAATTCTATTTTTAGTAACCATGGCAACACCGTTCACCGAAATCAAAAATTGATGCACTGTTCTATGTATCTTAGTGTAGTCTACTTGTGTGCCAAGTTATATTGAAATCAGACCAAAACTGTAGAAGGAGTAGCGTTTTAAAAGAATTTCACAGAGAATTCTATTTTTAGTAACCATGGCAACACCGTTCACCGAAATCAAAAATTGATGCACTGTTCTATGTATCTTAGTGTAGTCTACTTGTGTGCTAAGTTATATTGAAATCAGACCAAAACTGTAGAAGGAGTAGCGTTTTAAATGAATTTCACAGAGAATTCTATTTTTAGTAACCATGGCAACACCGTTCACCGAAATCAAAAATTGATGCACTGTTCTATGTATCTTAGTGTAGTCTACTTGTGTGCTAAGTTATATTGAAATCAGACCAAAACTGTAGAAGGAGTAGCGTTTTAAATGAATTTCACAGAAAATTCTATTTTTAGTAACCATGGCAACACCGTTCATCGAAATTAAAAACCGATGCACTATTCTATGTATCTTAGTGTATTCTACTTGTGTGCCAAGTTATACTGAAATCAGACCAAAACTGTAGAAGGAGTAGCATTTTTAAGGAATTTCACAGAGAATTCTATTTTTAGTAACCATGGCAACACCCTTCATCGAAATTAATAAAGTGCCCCGCCACAGCATGATACGCCCGTCAAATATATTGTTCAATAATCATAAATTGGTAAAGGTGCAAAAAAATCAGATAACCTTGATTAACAGATTGACACAGATTTCAATGATCTAATTTCAATTTCTTATCATGTTTAAAATATTGTACATATATACATCATCATACATCTCTAAGAGACTTACAGTGTAGGGATTAATTATAACAAATAACACATCATATAATTCTAAACTGGCTATGTTAGAACTTAACAAATATCCATCTGCAGCTTTAAATTGTTAATTGCATAATTTTCTGGAATAATGGAAATGCTACAGTCTAACAAAAAAATCAAAAATACATTATGAAGACTATAAAATTCTAAGTGAGACATGACTGCAATTTGTTGCAAATATATAAAAATTGAAATGTAATTTTTTTTCAATGAACACATGTATAATTAATTTTAATTATATTATACAATACTAATTTAGTTTTCAATCATACACTAAAACATCAATTTGTTTTAATTACATTACACTAATTGAAAGATCTTTATCTGGGCTATTGCCATGAACTCTTAATTAACACAAGCAACTATGAGGCCATTTGTGTCCCAAGAGATAACAGCTGAATTAACAGAGATGCTCTTTAGACAACCAGTTAACTCCTGACAATAAACTCATTAATTTCTCTCTAATTTGACATGCAATTTCTGCTATCAAAATTCTGGACCAGTGCTTGATAATTATGCCCATGTAACAAATGAATTCCTCTCAAAACATTAACATTTGCTACAGTTTGCTGTAAAAGTATATTATAATGATGAAAAAAATAAGTTTTTACTTAATTTAACATTTTTTAATAAGGCTTAGTTTTAATTATATTTCAATATTAATTTAGTTTTTATTATACACTGTATTTTAAAGCATCAATTTGTTTCAATTACAATACACCAATTGAAAGATCTTTTTCTGAACTAGCCATCAAGAATTCTTAATTAACTTACTATGAGGCCATTTCTTTTTCCCAAGAGATTAAAGATAAAGATAAAAGCTGCATTATAAGAGATCTGCACTACCAGTTTGCTCCTGACAATAAACTCATTAATTCTCTCTAATTTGACATGCGAATTTCTGCTATCAAAATTCTTCTTGACCAGTGTTTGATAATTATGCCCACGGGACAAACTGAATTCCTCTCAAAACATTAACATTTGTTACAGATTGCTGTAAAGTATATAATGAAAAAATAAGTTTTTACTTGATTTAACATTTTTAAATGAGGATACAACTATATTTTTACATTTTTTAGGATTATGAAATTTAAAATTTTAAAGACTGGTTTTTTTAAAAAATTCACTTAAATTTAAGGTCACAGTGACCTTGAAATAGGCCGCGACACACTTCTACCTTAGATGTATAACACACAGCTCAGGTCTAATAGTTTTCTAGTTATGAGCCGGACAGGATTTTTCCATATTTGGCCATAGCATCTTTATTAAAGGTCACAGCGACCTACTTTTTGTGCGCGACACACCGTCTACCCAAGAAGTATCAACTGTCAAAGTTTGATAATCCTAGGTCTAATAGTATTCAAGTTATGAGCCGGACACGAAACTTTCAGACGGACGGACGGACATGAAGCCTATAACATAATACGTCCCGTCTTAAGACGGGCATATAAAAACCGATGCACTATTCTATGTATCCTAGTGTAGTCTACTTGTGTGCCAAGTAATATTGAAATCAGACTAAAATTGTAGGAGGAGTAGCGTTTTGAAAAATTGTTTACAGACAGACGGTTAGACAGACAGACGGACGGACGCCGGACGCATTACTATTGCATAAGCTCTTCTGGTCAGAGACCAGTAGAGCTAAAAATTACCAGGTTTATATAAATTTCATACTCTTTCTTTGTCATCTCAATAAGATTATTTAATGCAAAATAAGGTGATATGCACTACATTTCAAATGAAACAAAGTGTGCATACAAATTGAAATTGCTCATAAGTCAATATGACTGTATGCACAACTCGCATGACTTTAAGCATACCTGCTCAGAATATAGGAATTCCATGACAGAGCTCCAACTCTGTTGGCATGGCCTGCCATGTTGCGTAGCCTTTTCTTTGCTGCCACATCCCACAACTGAGAAAATTGTGAATTATTTTCTTTTTTAAAATGAGTAATATTAATTTAATCTGGAGATTTTTTTTCCTTAAAAATACATGTATTCAATTGTACATACCTAACAATCACAAATGTATAAACAGTAAAATGACTACGACTCTAGCATTATAGGATACCTTTTGCACCTAACTTATGGATTAAGAGTTCTTTGTTTATCCCTTCAGACATACCCTAGTCCTCCTGGTTCCCTAACATTCACTCACTTGCACTTCCCCATTGCTGGTTCCAACAGCCAGGTAGTTTCCTTCCTTGATCCAGGACACAGCTCCTACATACTGGTCCGAGCTCTCCATCTGTAACAGCTGGTCAATCTCTCCTGTGGCCGCATTCCAGAGGTACACACTCCCCCCCAAACACACAGCCAGGAGATTGTTACATGACCAGTCCAGCAGGTTCAGGTCTACAAACAAGTACACAACTTTACAGTTATAAGGGGATGCAAGCATACAAACTTTCCCATACCTGAGTTGAACTTCATTCTTTTAAACAGGACTTTTTTTTTTTTAATCATGTTAATCATATACCTATTTATAAATACACTGCAATCATTGTTTTACCAGATTAGGCCAATAATCACCATAAGATTCAAGGGTGAATATTGTTCTTTGTACTTACAATAATCATCAAGGATGTCTGGAGCATCAAGGATGCGCTCTGGCACTTGAGGAATATGACGCATGGTTTTCTTCATGGAACCAGCAGGTGTTTTGCATGAACTATACAGGACTCGAAGGTTGTTGTGATATCCTGTAACATATTTTATTTGTGATTAATATTTGGGGGGCGAATTTAAAATGGGGCAAATTGAAAGACAATAATAACCTTGAGTGGCATGATAACCCTGGTATTCAGTATTTTTGTTTTGTTAAAAATTTAATCAGAAGTAAATCATGATCATAAATACATGTTCTAAGTAAAAGAGAGTGTTTTCATTTATGAAACTACTTTTTTTTCTTAGTATCAAAATAAGCATTTCTACTACAACTTTATTTTTCCTCCCTCTTTTCAAAAAATGACAAGTTACCTTCTGGTGCACCTGGAGCCTTAGTTTTATATGATATGATTTTGTTGTTAGAGATGTCTGCTCCATTCAGGTTTTCACTCATTATTTTCTGATACTCCTTCTGTGAAGGGCTCAACAGATTGTCTGCTTCACTTGCACTAACACTGTCTGAAGTTAATTTAAAGTGTCCCAATTCAAATTGGGTAGCACTGCGATTTGGTATAAATCTGTCTCCACCACTGGGAGTTTTGGGAGCTTTGGATCCTCCAGGTGTCCTTGCTTTACCTGTGAATAGAATTGTAACTTTATACACTATATCAGATATTAAGGTTCTACAATACAGCCATCCATCCAAATTGAATTTGCTTTAAGTTAACATGCAATATGTCAAATACATGTAAATGGCAATCTTTGAGCTGAAAAGCTGCATTGTTAAAAAGGCTTAGAATGAAGTACCAGGGACACCAACAGATGTTTATGTCCATCTCTGTATATCTGTTAAGTTACCATACATTTTATAGCTAAAGGGAATGAAATCCCTTTGCTGTAAGCATCAGACAATTCGTTATAAGCATGTTGGCGTTTAAAGTGTTTTACTGTATACAAGCATGTTTTATCAAGAAAAAAATACTTAACTCAAAAACTGCAGCCCTATAAATCATTAAGAAATAAAAATAAAATTACTTGAAGATTTTGGTGTTTTTGCATTAGATGGTGTCTTTGGATTATTGGTGGATCGGTTGAGATTCTTCATGGGAGTTTTCGCTGTTGTGCTGATGTTGAGCGAGCTGTTCACAGACTGATTACAATCTGTCTTCCTCTCAAACCTCATACTGGGTCCTTTTGTTATGGGTCCATCCATCCTTAAGACACTGTTCAGTTCATTCTCAAAGTTAAAATGTGACATGTTGCTTCAGTGTAGACACAGCCCTCTCCTCTTTACCCTTTGTTGATCTTTGGATTTGGTTTAGGAATCATGTCAACATATTGTTTTCCCAGTGACACAGGAACTGATGTATTCTTTTGAGGTACACTCTACGCAAAAAAATGTTATGTGCTTAAAATAATTATACTAAATTACTAATATATCATACATTCTTCAATTCAGTTGCTAAACTTGCTTTATCCAGCAAATCAGCAACACCACAATTTGCAGCAATTATTCAAATCAATGTAGGAAACTAAACATAGGTTAAAAATAGCCGATTAATATCCCATTTCTTAAATTGAAATAAGGATAGGATACTATTAACCTGAAATTGATCAAACAGTAGATTAGCCTAACCACAGGGGCATGTCTTCTTTTAATATAGATACCCCTACTATAAAAATACAGTGTATTTTTATAGTAGGGGTAACTATACTAAAAGAAGGTAAATATTTCGTGACATGCCCCTGTCACAGGGCCTGTGGCCTTACTAACCACGCTAAAGCAAACGTTCGTTACAGCACCCAAAATGTGGGCTGTTTGTGATTAAAATAAAAAAGATCACTATTATTAAAGAAAAAGTTTGAAACTTACCTTTATCCTTTCTCATATAACGTATTTGGCTGGTTGAATATACATCTGTCAGTAAAGAAAATGTCAAAAATAGCAACAAGACAAGTCTCGACAGGATTTTGGATTGCTTGATAATTCAAGTTTGCCGCTGGGTGATTGGCTAATCATGAAAAGTTATGAACATTTGATTGGTTCATTGTTCCCATAACAAACATATCATGTCATATTCATTTTGATTGGTTGGGTTTTATAATCCGGAACTCACTAGCTAGTTCGGTCATATTTTAGTCCGCTATTAATTACAAGACCAACATATCATGGAACTGTATTCCAAATATTTATTGAGTGTTAAAATTCAAGTAAAATAATTATCAGATGGCTAATTTGATACAATGAAATGTGTAACAAAATCTTGATAATTTTTTTAAAAAGATACATTTTAGTAGTTTACATAATTAAGTTAGAATTGCTTTATATGTTATGTATACAATCATTATGGTTTTCATTAATCTTTTCTTTCCTGTTTTTAATTGAGCAAAAACAAACCAGTGGCGGATTCAGGGGGGGGTGGGGGTCGGAAACCACTCTCCCCCCCCCCCCTCCCGCTCATTGAATTTTTTTTTTACAAGTGTCATTTTATCATTTTTTTGCATTGATAAGACTATAGTAAACATGAATCCTTTGTTTGTACAACTGTGAAGTATACATCAACTACGTAACAGGAAATCACTTTCCACTTGAACGCACTGTGGCAACGCACTTTGAAAAAATTTTTCAAAGTGCGTTAAATTTGGGACACACTCAACGCACTTTAAAAACATATTTCAAAGTGCGCGTTAAGCGTGTACATAAACATTTTTACCATGGGGACATTTAACGCACTTTGAAAAAATATCTTCAAAACAAAAAGATTCTAGACTCAGATTTTAGTAATTGAGAGAACTAATTTGTATTAGTTATATCTTTCGAAAAACGTTTTAATTTACACGTACTCATTTATCCTCATTGGGAACAAGGAGAAAACGAGTAGAAGGTCTCTCAGTCCAACTTTATTTTCTTATACATTGTACATAGCCGTCGGTAGCAAATTGAAAGTGGACCCCCTAAAGGTAAGCCCCAGTTTTCAATGCCTATATATCTTTGCAAAACATTTGTGTGTCTAAGGCCCTCTTCCCGGTACCGATGCATATGCTACACCCAATTATATGTATTTGCATAACTGGTATAACGTTGAAAACTTTCAATAAATTTTAGTTTACATTTATAATGCATTCAAAATGGAAAAAAATTAAGTACAGTAAAACATTTAAGAGAGAAAGAATTTTCAAAGTATGGACAAATCAAAATCGCTCACTTTCATATCCTGAAGTGACCTCATCATCGAAGAGTTATCAAACAGGTTCAATTATTTATCATACCTAAGATTTGCAGGAATATTGACCAAGCCATAATTTTTATTTCAAAGTGCGTTAATATGGTCGATATTAACGCACTTTGAAAAAAAATTTCAAAGTGCGTTGTAACAACGCACACAATATACCGGGAGGTCAACATTACCGCTACATTGCCAAAAATTTCAACTCATTACCGCTACATTTTTTCAGATTTTCGACCGATCATTACCGCTACATTTTTCTTGCCAAAATCAACTCATAACCGCTACATATTGAGTCAGCCAAAAACAACTCATTACCGGTACATATCGATTTAGCCAGGTATGGTTCGGTATATGAGTTCTAATCAGCAGAATTCACTCACTATCTAATCACCATGAGTATATTTATATAAATAACTCTACAATCGAAATTTAATTATTTAGCGTCATCTAAACATTATGACCACAATTGAGAAGTTTATACAAATCGAGGGAATGCCGGCTTACTTATCGATGGTTATAAATTCAGAAAAAAAAACAATATGTCAAGCAAATGCTTTAGCGATATTGTAAAAAACATTTGACAAAACTTAGAATTTTATCTCTGAACAGTGCTTGATTTTAATTTTGTTGTGTTTTATGAAATAAAATTGATTGTAATAATAAAAAAATCCATCCTGCTCAAAGTCCTACTTTCATCTCCCCGTGGTGAGCAGGGGAACGGGTCTTATGCATTTATAGGTTGTACTGTACACGCATATGTGGCTGGCTAACGACAGAAGCAATGTAGCGGTAATGTATACTTTTTTATGTAGCGGTAATGTAAGGTTTTTTGTAGCGATAATGACTATGTACGTAGCGGTAATGAAAATGTTGAAAATGTAGCGGCAATGATACGCATCCAATATACCACACGTTATACCGGTAATGCAAATACATATATTTGGGTGTAGCAGGTACCGGGAAAAGAGCCTGGTAGACACACAAGTGTTTTCCAAAGGTGTTATATGTCCCCATATTGGTAAAAATGTACACTCTTAACGCACTTTGAAATATTTTTTCAAAGTTCGTTGAGTGTGTCCCAAATTTAACGCACTTTGAAAAGAATTTTCAAGAATTTTCAAAGTGCGTTGAATTTGTCCCAATTTTCAAAGTGCGTTGCCATAAGCCCCCCCCCCCTTTCCACAGACACGTTGCAATATAGGTTAAAAATAGGGAAAGTGGTGGTGTTTTGGAAAAAAAAATTCGTACTGAAAGAAGTTCGAACCTCATCCCCCCCAAAACCCAAACACACACAGGAAATAGGATTTTCGTGTTGGACAATGCATATAACTTTCTTTGCTTGTCAGGTATTTTCGTAGCTTCCTTTATTTTATTTTATCCACCTCCCAACCCTTTAAAGTTTCTCTACAGGCAAAAACTCGCTTGAAGTGAATTTACAACAATCTAATAAATTATTGTCAGGTATTTTTGAAGTTAAAAAAAAATTGTCTTACACTTAGGCCCCCCCACTTTCAATTAGCTTCCGACGCCAAAGCTGCAGTTCTGCAACGTTACGGTTTTATATATGAGTATTTGAACATAACGCTGCAGATCCCGTAATACAAAAAATGTGCAATTTACGGCGCAAGATTTTTTGCGCATTTTTGGGGAGAATTTCTCCACTTTCCAGCACCGGTCCATCAACCACCTTTCACTTCCTAATTCTAGACACATTCTGTAGCCAATATGTATATTTTATCCACCTCCCAATCCTTTATAGTTGTCTCAACAATTGATAAACTCGCCTGATTTAAATTATTTATTAGATTGTTGTAAATTCACTTCAAGCGAGTTTATTGCCTGTATAGACAACTTTAAAGGGTTGGGAGGTGGATAAAATAAAATAAAGGAAGCTACGAAAATAGTGGTTTTATCACTAGTTATTTCACATTTAGACCATTGCAATTGTTATTTTATTTTGTACAACACGATGCAAAATTAATAAAAGACAAAGAATTCCAAATATGAGTGCTAAATTAATGTTAAATTTGAGGAAATTTGACAGTTCAAAATCTCCATTTTGATACCGATTAGATATACAATATCATTCAAAATTCTGACATTCAAACTTCTCGAAGTTCCGAAAACTGTTATTCATATAGTCTCATTTAATATAAGGAAAAGTTTCAGCAATAGAAGTTTTAGCACCATTGGACCAAAATTGTGGAATGAACTGCCCCTGTATATTATTAATTTATAGCAATCAAAATCGATTGATATTGTCAAACACAGCTTAAAAACTTACTTCTTCAGGGGCTTAAAATGCTTTATTTTACCTATTGCTTTCCATGTGTCCGTTATTGTATATTTGTACATTATGATAATACTTTTACAGCATTATTGTACAGAGCCATGGAATAAAAGAGTGGCGTTTAATCAAACAAATCAGTTTCAAGTAGTTTATCCAACAAAGATCAGGCGTATTTCCTTCCCGGACACGGAGACTTTATCCTGATAATATTGCACGAGCATCCCGTCAATCAAGCTTCGGTGAACAGAATTTAGTTTCTTTACAATATGCTATCCATGTCTGTAACATGGACTCAGGAGACGATATTTGATGATACGCTAACGTATTTCGAAAATTCATCGTTACAGCATCGTTTGACACTAGTCCAGGTTTCTTCATGATGAAACCAGGCTGGTTTTTACGCACAATTTTCAGTTTTTCTGCTACAATACCAAGATAGGTGTCATCGATTGAAATAGGTTGGATGTAAGGTACAGCTAGAGCAAATTTCTTTACAAGATCTGCAGACATGAGATAGGCGTACCCGGCAAGATACTTAGGATACTTGTCAAATGGATAGTCCTCCCACGACACAAACCATTTAGACGTATTGTCCCGGTACGGTACAGAATGAGACAGAAGCTTACCTAACATCATATCAGGACCTTGGTTCCGAGACTTCCTGAATTTTCTTAAATTATTTACGATAAGGAAAACATCATCATCTACGTAAAAGCTTAACTTGGCATTTGGACAGTGTTGGGAAACCCAATTTAGCCCCATAATAGTTTTTAATGTGTTGTTCGAGTAATTGTCCAAAAAATCTTCCTGTACAACATCTCCATATTTCAAAGCCTCGCTATCGACTTCTGTTTGCACACTTTGGTTAAAACCAAGAAGAAATACAATTTTGACAGCTTCGTAATTGCTAATATTGCCCCAAGTCTTCCTAATGACGTGCCGGTTTGAGAAATTCTCGACTCTAGATTTTACAACTAAAATGAAGAAGATGTTGGATTCTGTGCATATATTTTGTCCTTTGTGAATATAGTTAAAATCATGTCTATTGATGGGTTCGTTGACGATTTTCTTGCCCTCGAGTTGTGATTTTACCACTTGTACAACATCCAGTTCTAGAGGATAAAGCAGAGACATAAAAGCCAGCTTCTTCTTTCGAATATTAGAAATGTTCAGTGGTGGTGCACATGGGAATAAAACACCATTTAAAGCATAGCCACTATTGTCCTTTAAGTTATTATTTTGTAAATAACTAGAATTGGAAGAAAGGGGGCAGCCCTTCCGTGGAAAGTTGTTGGAATATGAATATTTATAGATATTTTCTGTCTCTCTGATGGAAATATGAGCAAAAACTGTAATAACAGGTGCCCTTTGCTGACAAAAGAAAATCCAGAAGAACAGTGGTATAGTAAAAAGGAGATATGGACTGTGATAGCAATTTCTGATTCTTCGCCTTGCCAGAAATCGGACACATGATGGCATTCTCAACAAAACAGCAATCTAAAAATCAAACAGGAAAATATAGTTATTTCATGAGAGACCAAAGAGAGTTTTCAGCTTATAAGCCAATGCCAATACCATATCAATTTGTACATGTTAGTTGTTCAAAGTTTCCTGGAAGATATCCTCTCTAAAGACTATTAAAATATGGATTGAAACGTGGTTCCGACGGCTAAAATTAGATCGATCTACATGTATGTTACATTTTATTTATTTGTTCATTTGATTTTTTTTACTTTAAAAAATTGATTTCATTTCAACACAGGAAGGATTGTTGTACAGACACACATGGATAAAAAAAGTTCGAATTTCGATTTTCTTTAATTGTTAGTCACTAGCAAGGGCCGTTCAAACATGCCAAATGGATTTTAAGTAAAGCATACCAATTAAATATTTATTCATCATTAATGCATTGAAAGTTTTGAATGCACTTTATGTGAAAGAAATTAAGCCACTTAACGTGAGAAAAATACTAGTTCTGTAACTCACAAAAGTGGTCGATATAAAGATAATATGTATGAAGATCATATATTAATATTTTATTAAAATATCATATTATCCATACATACATGTATACATTGACAATTTACCGAACATATTAGGCACTATGCTAGACATGTTTAAAAGAATTAATAAATACAATGTTATTTGTACGTACCCTTATTCAGCAATTTTCCTAGTGAGTAAAACCGATTCAGCGTCGATCAGGAGAAGGAGACTTTGCCTTGACTTACTTCAATTAAAGACAACTTTCGTTTAGACATTGGGGGAGGCAGCGGTTCATATTGATCCAGCAGCAGTATGTCTTTTTCGAATGTTAAATGCTGTTAGAAGCAGGAAGTTTTAATCTAGAGCAGAAATTTCTCTCAATATAATTATTTTATGTAAAATATGAACATATTTTTTCGGTGCAAAATAAAATTTCCTGTTATCAGATTTCCCCTTAAGATTAGTAACTATGCTCGCAGCCATAAACTAATCCATAAAAGCACAGATCTTATATCTGCATGATATTCGGATTACTTTCAAAGGTTTACATGTCAATCTCAGCTCTTGATAATAGATATATAGCACATGTACTAACACCACTACTTTTATACTTGTATGGCAATACAGTTTGTGGTTCTTGTTTCATGGTTCATTTAATCATTTGCAATGCATAACACCATCATCCTGTGAAACACACAAAAGATTTAAAATAAAACAGCAAACGAGCGCGGGCACATTTTGTTATATGTCTTGAATGAGAGAAGATAGAACACTCACTTTTGTCATGTGCATTAACTGTAACAGATGTTTCCGAAATATTTGGAATGTGCGATTATATTAAACCCCCATGGCCTTTACTCTTGAGATTTGACCTAATTAAAAAATATAGCATTCGCATTAAATTTGGAATGATCTCGATGACAGGACGTACATATTCGACAAGTGTATTACCTGTGTCAAAAATGGTTACTAGTAGTACAGCAGCTTTGAAAATGCATTCTAAAATTCAATGGAAAATTACATTTATAAATAAGAAAAGTACGAAAGAGTGATCTGTAAAGAAAATGCTAAGTATCATACATATGCCGTTTAAAGCATAATTCACAACTGTAATTTAGATGAACTTGTGAAATATCTCACGCCAGAGAACGTTTATATAAATCGAATGACAAAAGACAAGATTCTCAAATACGCAAAGACTGGACATCCGAGTATATTTTTTCAAACCTTCAATCATCCTCCAGTGCTTATAGACAGTCAGTGTACTTTTTTGAGGGTCATGAGATTTACAGTGGTTCTAGAGCATTAGACGTAAGTAGCTATTTTTAAGTCGCAGGTTTAAATACCAATGAGGAACGTTGAGAACGGTCCTTCAAAAGGGACCATAAAAACTTGTCCAGTGTCGCAGAAGATGCTGGCTCATAAAGATCCCACTGGGCCGGAATTAAAAATATCTTTGTTTCCCCTAACCCGACCCTAAATTCTCAAGTTGGGTCGGTAGGTAGGTAAACAATTTTATTTTCTGACAGCAGCTTTGAAAACTGATACATTCTAAAATTTGATGGAAAATTACATTTATAAATAAGAAAAGTACAAAAGAAAGTGATTTGTTAACAAAATGCTAAGTATCATACATATGCCGTTTAAAAGCAAAATTCATGATTAATTAATTCACAACTGTAATTTAGATGAACTTGTGAAATATCTCACGCCAGAGTACATTATACATGTATAAATCGAATAAAAAAGACAAGATTCTCAAATACGCAAAGACTGGACATCCGAGTATATTTTTTTCAAACCTTCAATCAGCCTCCAGGGCTTATAGACAGCCAATGTACCTTTTTGAGAGCCATGAGATTTGTAGTAGTTCTAGAACATTTTGCTTTGGAGTTAAGACGTAAGTGGCTAATTTTAAGTCGCAGGTTCAAATACCAATGAGGAACGTTGAAAACCGTCCTTCACGAGGGACCATAAAATCATATGTCCAGTGTCGCAGAAGATGCTGGCTCAAAAATGATCCCCACTGCTTCATGGCAAAAAAGTGCGTAGTACGTCTAAATTTGGAGCAATGGGGAAATGTTCAAATGTCGTCCCAACAAATCTCGAAGGGATTAAAAGCAAAGAAACAACCATTCTGCAAGGACCTTATTAAAGAAAAATACACTGGACGTCCCAGGAAGCTGAATTATGATTTCAAAACTATTTGGAAAGAGTATTTCAACAATATTTAAATGAACCAAACCGAATCTACAAATGATAAAAATGCTATATAAAACAATGTCATATGATAGTCATGAAGTTTAACCCGTAAATAAAGCTTGAAAAAGTGCAACTGAATTATATTTATCAGGATGAATATGCACACATAGTTATCACAACTCCTATGATTACATAATGGCATATAGTTAACATAGGAACATAAATAAATTGTTTATTAGATCAAAACTCAAATAAAATGCAGTGAAACTGAATGATGTGTTCACTAGGTGGGCTCATGAGGCTGGCCTTTTCGTGTATTACGTACTGAGTACCTGAAATTCAATAGACAGATTTGTTTGTTCGTTGTTTACCGTCCCTTTCGAAATTTCGAAAATTTATTCACTCACATGATGACGCCAAGACACCTCCGAAACACTCGTAATTAGTCATGGTAAATTTTATTATCAAATTCTTTCAAGAGTGAAGAATTCTAGTTAGCTAAAAGCATAAGATTGAGACATTGCCGTTGTTCTACCGGTATTAAGAACTACTTCTCTGTAATCATATATGGGCGCTATTTTGTTGCCATCAAATGCTTGAAAATCACAGTAGAACATTGTCGGCCGCTCTGATAAAAACTGGTTTTGATGAAATTATATTTTATAAAACTTGGTTGGCAATAAAAATTTTTTTTGAATCATCTTATTTAAAAAATCTTTTCAGTCGGTGCGATTTATCGGTCGCGTTAGGGGAAACAAACGTATTTTTTATTTTGGCCCTGCTTAATGGCAAAAATGTGCGTACTACGTTTAAATTTTGGAGTAATGGGGAAATGCTGAAAAGTCGTCCCAACAAATCTCAAAGGGATTAAAAGCAAAGAAAAAACCAATCTTTAAGGGCCTAATTAAAGAAAATGACACTGGACGTCTCAGGAAGCTGAATTATTATTTCAAAACTATTTGGAAAGAGTATTTAAACAATATTTAAATGAACCAAACCGAATCTACAAATGATTAAAATGCTATATAAAACGATGTCATAGTCACGAAGTTTAACCCGTAAATGAAGGCATGAAAAAGTACAACTGAATTATATTTCTCAGGATGAATATGCACACATAGTTATCACAACTCCTATGATTACATAATGGCATATAGTTAACATAGGAACACAGATCAATTGTTTATTAGATCAAAACTCAAATGAAATAAAATGCATTGAAATTGAATGATGTGTTCATTAGGTGAGCCCCTCATCTGCTCATGAGGCTGGCCTTTCCATGTATTACGTACCTGAAGTTCAACAGACAGATTTGTTTGTTCGTTGTTTACCGTCCTTTTTGAAAATTTATTCACTCACATGGAGACGCCAAGACACCCCCGAACTGATCTTAATTAGTCATGGTAAATTTTATTATCAAATGATCTTAATTAGTCATGGTAAATTTTATTATCAAATGATCTTAATTAGTCATGGTAAATTCAGGGACCTATATACTATATATAGGTATATAGGTCCCTGGTAAATTTTATTATCAAATTGTTTCAAGAGTGAAGAATTCTAGTTAGCTAAAGGCATAAGACTGAGACATCGCCATTGTTTTATAAAGAACTACTTCTCTATAATCACATCTGGACGCTATTTTGTTTCCAACAAATGCTTGAAAATCTACGAAAGCCGGATAGGCTCATTTTTGAAAAGAAAAAAAAAATTTAATTCGTTATAACGAGTAAGTAATCTCGTTATAACGAGTCAGTTATCTCGTTATAACGAGTTAGTATCTCGTTATAACGAGTTAGTATCTCGTTATAACGAGTAAATATATACTTAGTTTTATCTCGTTATAACGATTTAATCTCGTTATAACGAGTTTTAACTCGTTATAACGAGTTAGTTAATTCGTTATAACGACTTAGTTATCTCGTTATAACGAGTTAGTTATCTCGTTATAACGAGTTAATTATCTCGATATAACGACTTAGTTATCTCGTTATAACGAGTTAATTATCTCGTTATAACGACTTAGTTATCTCGTTATAACGAGTTAATTAACTCGTTATAACGAGTTAGTTATCTCGTTATAACGAGTTAATTATCTCGTTATAACGAGTTAATTATCTCGTTATAACGACTTAGTTATCTCGTTATAACGAGTTAATTAACTCGTTATAACGAATTAGTTATCTCGTTATAACGAGATAATTATCTCGTTATAACGAAATGATAAGTTTTCTCTTTATTTCCAAATTTAATAGCAGTATAGGAATTAAAAATGGATGTAGTTTTAATGCCATTGAAGTTTAATTGATAATTATCAGTCGTACGTAACTTTAAAATTGATATAAAGTTGCAAATTTAATTTGCGATATGATTTGAATAATATTAATTCTGAACTATCTGGCTGTCAATAATCACAGTTTGATAAGTATAGCAATCTTTATTTGAAAACATTTACACATTTGTTCGTGAACGTGTCAAAGGACATAATATTAAAAAATATATATATTGCCAAATGTACTTGCTTCAAAGTTTGGCAGTTTATCTATGACAACTTTCTCCGATAAAAGACACTATTTTTTAAATATCTCTCTCTTTCTAATCAATGTCTAAGAACCTAAATTAATACATTATGATAGCAACCTAACGCAGGCATTAATGCAACATATATTATATACACAAAATTGTTTTGAAGAAGGGGGATATGGAGACATCAGCAGTTAGGTCATGGGCGTAAAATTCTAGGGGTACCGCCAACACAATATCACGAGGCAGTCATAAGTTTCCGTATACATGTATTTGTCTTCGGTCTTTTAAGTAAACAATACAAATCAACTGCATCGTTTATACATAAACGAACTACAATCAAAGGAACAACCCCTCGAAAAAAAAAAAAAAAAACTAGTTTGCTGTTTTTCAACAAAATCTTTATCATACACACTTTATTAAACAACCTTGATCGACTCGGTTTTACATGCTATACTTCCTATCATTTAGATATATCAACTTTAGACCAGTGTTTAACTCGTTATTACGAGAAAATCAACTCGTTATAACGAGAAAAATTAACTCGTTATAACGAGATAACTAAGTCGTTATAACGTGATAACTAAGTCGTTACAACGAGATATTAACTCGTTATAACGAGATAATTAATTCGTTATAACGAGATAACTAAATCGTTATAACGAGATAACTAACTCGTTATAACGAGATAACTAACTCGTTATAACGAGATAATTAACTCGTTATAACGAGATAACTAACTCGTTATAACGAGATACTAACTCGTTATAACGAGAAAACTAACTCGTTATAACGAGATAATTAAGTCGTTATAACGTGATACTAACTCGTTATAACGAGAAAACTAACTCGTTATAACGAGATAATTAACTCGTTATAACGAGATACTAACTCGTTATAACGAGATACTAACTCGTTAAAACGAGATAAGTAACTCGTTATAACGAGTTAAATTTTTTTTTATCTTCTCAGAAATGAGCCTATCCGGCTTTCGTAAAAATCACAGTAGAACAATGTCGGCCGTTCTGATAAAAAATTAAAAACTGATTTTGATGAAATTGTATTTTATAAAACTTGGTTGACAATAAAAAAAAATTTTTGAATCATATTATTTAAAAAATCTTTTCAGTCGGCGCGTTTTAGTTGGGTCGGTCGCGTTAGGGGAAACAAAGGTATGTTTATTTTGGCCTCATAATGCTTTTTTATTCTTTATTTACTACCAGTCCAGTACTCGCTGACAGTTTAGGGGATGTTTTCTTATTTATTAAATAGTACTAGGAATTTTTCATTGCAAACGTGTTTTATGCCAAAGTATACATGTACTGGTCTCAAACGCATCCATTTATTCTTTCATTTTCAATGCCCTACACGTAATTTATGTAATAAACAGACACGAGGACAATCAAAGTAGAATTTTGTACACGAAATTCGAAAGAGGGAAGAAAAAGACAGAAATATGGTGGGATTAGCGATGGCGTCGAGGCAATAAATAAAGACGGATGTCAGTTCATTTCCTTTGTGTTCCAAGCAAATTGTAGTTACATTAACATCTTAAAACTCTTAAAATTGTCAAAAGAGTTAAAAAGGCGATGTAATTTATTCTGAAATTTGTTGATTTAAATCATAAAATTCTCAACCTCTTAAGAGACGGACATGAACCTTGCAATGATTAAAGATAAAATGTAGTCCAAATGAAAAATTAGGGCATATTAACATTTCTTAACGCCTGAACAATGAAAGGTAGGTTTTGTACTCTATCTTTTCTTTTCTTTTTTTCTACCAAATCAAAATGTTTTGGATATTTACTGCCATTCTAAGAAATAGATACATGTGCGTATTTGATGTATCCGTGTTATCAATTAAAACCAGTTACATCCATTCATAGATGGACTCGATATATATCCTAGTGAGCTTAAAATTAAAGATACCACAGAGTCTGACACACCTGTTTCATATATCTGGACATTTAACTTGAAAATAGACGTTAATGGTAACGTAACAACAGGATTTTATGATAAATGTGAAGACCAGCTTTTCAATCGTCTACCTCAATTATGTAGCAGAATACCCTTATTGCCAGCGTACCTGGCTTATGTCTCTCTGTTCATTCAATATGCAAGAGATGCTCTATATACGAACAATTTCTAAAACAACGCAAACTACTGGTAAAGAAGATGATGATACAAGTTTATCAACAGTTTCCTTTAAAGTCACCATTTTGCAAGTTCTATGGTCGACACAATGACCTTGTCAGCAAATACAATCTATTATAAGGTCAATTGCTGACTGATGTTTTTCATACTTATTGTTGTCCATTATTGACCCACTGCCAATTGTCTCTAAATTTTTTCCGTTTTCACAATCATGAAATGAAGCACACAGCGGGTGTGACCGGTCGGCAGAGATTGCTCATTCCTCCATGGCACCTGATCCCATCTCAGATGTTTTACAGAATCATGTTTGCTCTGCGTCTGATTGGTATTGTTTGAGTGGACTTCTGAGTTTGAATACTGTTTGTTATCTCCAAATTTCATCAACGAAAATATCACATTCAAATATTCTATCTATTTTTATTTTTGCTTAAAATTTCATTCGATTTCAAAGAAGTGTCGAAAAAAAAACATGTCAAAACAATGTGACACATTCTTGATGCGCGGAGATGGAAGGCACTAAGATCGTGTATATTTGAATTTTTTTAAAGGAATGCATATATCTAAAGGAAAATTAGGTCAAATGTCAAAATAGGATCCACCATCGTACAAATAAAAAAAATACAATACAGTTAGAAAGTTATTCAATGCAATTTGAAAAGGTGGAACATTGCAACGTTTACTTTTGATATTCCATACATTTTTCTACCAGAAGAATCATTATAACCATGACTAAATCTGAATTTATCCTGGTGTCACTCTTATTTTAAAAAGTTTTATAACCCTCTTTATAGATTTTTCCTCTTTCCTATGATAAATATTGAGAACATGCTGTCGCTTTGTCCTAGTCCTAATATATCTTCACGTGAATCGAAGGAGGAAAACAACATTTAAACTTGTTGAGGACCTCCATATATTACTTAATAAAGAGTTTCAACGGTGTTCGATTATATTTTTCACATATTTTATTGTATTATACATACCAAAGGGTTGTGTGTTCTTCCAACTTCAATTGTAAATCTTTTTCTTTGTAATATATACAAAGAATATAATGATTGTCAAACAAATAAATTACAATATCTATTGTATATCTGATTGACAATATCTATATGGTTTTTGGAGACAAGGTCTTCCAACGATCTTTTGGAATTTCCAAGGGAACCAATTGCGCCCCGGGCCCGTTATTAGCAGATCTATTTTTGTATTCATATGAAGCAGAATTTTAATCGTCAACTTGCCCTACTTAAATTATGCAGCAATAGACCTTCATCACCTCCAAACGGAGTTTATGTCTTTCAATTGATTCGATACGCAAGAGCATGCTCTGCGTATGTACAATTTCTAAAATGAGGTAGTTTACTCACAAACAAGTTGATGAAACAAGAAAATTAGCGGTCATGTTTAAAGTAATAATTTCGTAAGTTTTATGATCGATACAATGACCTTGTCAGCAAATACAATTTATCATAGAGTAAATTTTTTTAATGCTGACTGATGTTTTTCATACTAATTTTTAGTTCATTATTTACACACTGAATTAACAAAGGATTTTTCCGTTATTTTCCGATCATGACAAGGAGCACACGACAGGTGTGACCGGTCGGCAGGGGATGCTCACTCCTTCATGTCACCTGATCCTACCTTTGAATTTTAGGAGGTCCATATTTGCTCTGATCCTATTTTGTATTGTTTTATGGACTTTTGAGCTTGAATATTGTTTGTTATCTCCATATATTTCACAATTAGATGTAATTTGAATAAGTAACACTTGTCAGATATGTTTTTATTTATTAAGATTTTTAAGGAAGGATTCTTCTCAAATTTCTTGTATTTAAAAGTTAATGAAATTTTTACAGAATCAAGAAGACAATATAACTAAGTGATGGTATCGGTGAGATGAAAAATGACTGTTTCATATCAGAGGCAAAGTCAGGTCAAGGTCATTACCTTTTTCCTGAACATTACATGTAACAATAAACTATTATTGTTACCAACTATGCGATCCCTACTTATATATCAAAAGATTGAATGTTTTTCTTTTTGCATAAAAAGATACTACCATTAAGGGCCTATAAGATGATATTACAAAACTGACATAAATAATTTAACTAAAATGAATATTTTCTCTACTTTTCTTAAATTTTTAGGATATACAAGTTATTTTTATATGCTTCCTATATTTAATTTTTTCTCATTTTCACATGTGGAAAAGTTGTCACATAAAGATACAAAATGATACAAAAACAAAAAGTTTTGATCGTTTAATAAGAAAAAAAAATACTTTTTACGGATTTTTTGGCTCAAATTTGTACACAGTACGATAGTTCTAGTTTGTTTGAAAAATCATATTTATTTGATATATTTAGGAAATTTAGTCCCTTATCATTAATTCAACTTGCATTTGAAGATTTCTTCAAGTCTTTGATTATGTAAAAATTATTACTAGATTTATTGTTCTATAATAATTTTGAGAGACAGAAAAGAAGATATTTTCATATGCCACCATTCCGCCAAAAATCTAGTCCCTGCTAGTTTTCAAACGCGGTTTACCATTTCTATTCAAAGTTGTACAATTGTGATGAGGAAAGAAAAATATGGTCTTTTAAATCTCTTACACCTAAATATATACTTTAAGACATATAAGCAAATATACATGTACTTTGAATACTTCATCTAGTCAGAACCAGAGATAAGAAGAATCAATGTTTTAAATTTAGAAACAACCAGAGAGGGAGCACATATATATACATGTATGTTTATATCAAGATGCATGGATATACTAATACAAACTGTACGTTCAAGATATTTGATAACACTACAGTGTATTCTTCCAGAAACTACGAAGTATTAGTTTGTAATAAACTCAAGCATTATATCAAATAAAGTAATTTAATGCTTTGATTGCATACTTCCCCACATTTTAGTCATAAAGTCTTGGTAGTGTTTGAATATATTTCCTGGGGGAAGATACCAAGTGACATGTAATTAACTTAAAACTTTCACCTCTATACGATATACATTTCTTTTCTTTTTTTTTTAATCTAGTAATATTGTCCTTAAGCTACCCGGAAGTTAAATTGTAGGTCACCTTCATTTTAGATCGTGCTGCAGAAGCTAGGTCATCGGAGAGGTATGCTCTGGTAACTCGAGAACAGGTATCCGGTAATCATATATAGGCACAGGTGAAGTGGTACTCGGGCTAACCTAGGAGCAACGACAACCCTACAGTGTCGTTGTAAACGGAATCATAATTTTTGGCGCGTTTACTTGTCAGCAAATTTTATTCATAAATATTTCACAAAGTCAGAAAAATTAAACCGTGTCATCTATTGCGTTTTTAATGAAACAAACACATTTTATGCAGGGTCAAGAATTTGGTTATCAGGGTAATATCCGCTATGTATGGGAAAACCAAAGATATGTTACGCAATATGTATTATATTTGTCTGGAGAGAGAAAAGTGTGCTCATGGTCCCGAAGAAAGGAAAGATTTCAAGCGATTGATTGCTGACCAAATACTCCAGATTGCAGCCTCCAAATAGAATAATGCAGTACTTGAAGGTAAGACGGATTAAAAAAAAATTGCTTAATTCACACGCTGCCATGCAAATATCATACATATGGAACAGTGGTTGTTTTTCCTTTCCTTAAATTTATATATGTTTCTCTTCAATTTAAAGCAATATGAGCTGCATGCTTGACATCGGAAATTTTTGTTGCAAATTTGTAATTAACTATTTCAATGACAGAAAAATAGAACATTTATGAACTTCTGTTGTTCATATTTGCGATGGGAAAAAAATCTTTTTATGAGCTTTGATTGAAGCAAAATTGCATTATTGTCGTCTTGTACAATACTAGTAATTGTTTCATATATAATACTGTATATTCCATCGTACAGAAATATTTCTTCTGAACCATTTTTAAACTTTATTTTGGTCTTATTGATCATATGGGTTTAAATTACTTAAAAATTAATCATAATAACACATTTTACCAGCAAAATAAAGTTCTCAAAAATGCAGCTCATATTGCTTTAATCTTAACATTTGTGCAACTTGAAATATCTTTTTAAAATATCGGTCAAAATGTTTTAATTCCAGAAAGTAAATAACAAAATCTGCAATTTAACAATCTTAGTGTTTCCACCATCGTCCTCATTTTATGATGTAATAATGCTAGGTTTATTTGGTATAAACTGCTCTCTCAAACAAAACAGTTCTGACATTTCATGGGTGTTCTTATGTCTGACTTCTTTTACTGTACTTTTAAATCAATACAGTTTGTTTGCTTCTCCGAGAGGTAATATCAACTTCGAGTTGGCTGCATTTTAATTGACATGCTTAAAATGGAATTAAGATTAAGTTTGTGTACAAATGATATGAAATAAGTGTGTTAACTTCAAAATTACCAGACCCTTATATTCATGTGTGGTTTAAATAAGAGCTGTACAAATATAGAAGGTGATGCAATTGTAATTAATTACCTGTATATTGCCCAATTAACCTGCCAAACAAACTAGCTTAAAGGTAGTTTTCCTTTTTATTGGTACACATGAAGCAAAACTACAAGTATCTAAGGGAGTATTGCGATATTTGCAAACATTCATTATATCGGTAACCTGTATGATGATTTTATCTATCCCCGTGTTTGAAGCAATATATTCAAGGACTCCTACTTTATTTTTCGACAAATACAAAGGAATTATCTTTGTATACGTGAAAAATTTCCATTTCATAGAAAATATTGTAAGACGGGGGGTGGGGGAGGGGGGTGGGTTCAACACGGAACTTTTGTTCCGTGAACGCCTTCTGAGAGGCTCAAATCAAATATCACATATTTTAAGCATTCTGAGAGTATTATTTGATAAACAGTTTTAGTCCCCTATCGGGAAAAATATAAATGGATATAATTTTATCAAAACTTAGATAATCAGAGATTACAGAACTTTTGTCTTTATAGCAAAGTCCCACACTAAAATAATAATTTAGTAGTGTACATTCCAAGATGCAATAGATGTAATTTTGATCTGATAAGACTTGCAGTTACTTGGGAATGGATTTATTCTAAAACTTGAAACAAGCCACTCATCCAGAAAGGTTTAAAATTGTTCATCCTTTGATGCATCATCCATACAAGTTTGGTTCAATAGCACTCTATAGTTTCTAGCTAATGGACATACGCCTAAAACGTCAATCTGTCATTCATCTGGAAAATAAAGGTCAAATCCAGCATCCAAATTAAGTCCAGAAGTGTGCATCCTAAGATGAAGGATATGGAGAAAGCGAACAGCATTCAGTATCAAAGTCCATAAAACAATACAAAATAGGAGCAGAGCAAACACGGACCTGAAAAATATCGGAGGTGGGATCAGGTGCCATGAACGGCATGGAGTGAGCATCCCCTGCTGACCGGTCACACCCGCCGTGTGCTCTTTGTCGAGAAATAACGGGAAAATCTGTCGTCAATTCAGGTGTGAATAATGGACTAACAATGAGTATGAAAAACTTCAGTCAGCATTTGACTCAATGATAAATTGTATTTGCTGACAAGGTCATTGTATCGAACTTACAAAATGATGCCTTTAAACGAGATTGCTGCTATTCTTGTTTCATCAACTTGTTTGTCAGTAATATACCCCGTTTAGGAAACTATTCATACGTAGAGTATGCTCTTGCGTATCGAATCAACTGAGATTATAAACGCCGTATGCAGGTGATGAAAAAGTAAGGGAAGTTGACGAAAGAAAAGTTAAAGTCATACCGTTTATGATAGAGCTTGGTTGTTAGATTACCATTAACGTCTTTTTCAAGTAAAATATCCAAGTATGAAACAGATGTGTCAGATTCTGTGGTATCTTTTATTTCAAGTTCACCGGGATATATCGTATCAACATGGGAGTGGAAATAACCATTGTTAATTGACAATACGGCATCGATATATCTAAATGTAGAGTTGAAGGCCACAGCAAGTGTTTTCTTCTTTTCACGCATAAGATTGTGCACAAATTCTGCTTCATATGAATACAAAATAGGTCTGCTAATAACGGAGCCCAATTGGTACCCATTGGAATTCCAATAGATTGTTGGAAGACCTGGTCTCCAAAAACCACATAGATATTGTCAACCAAAAACTCAAGCATCTTTTTGATGTAAACTTCAAAGTACTTGTGTGTGCAATCAGAATGTGTTTTAACAAAATAATTTTGCAAATAATTAATGACCAGGTAAGAAAATTTACGAGTTCCATTTTTATTGAAACAGCTGTCAATGATATAAAAAAGCCTGGACTTTAATTTATCGTGGGGGATGGTTGTGTATAAAGTTGAAAATCGTAAGTTTTTAAGCTGTTGATTTTGGTAAAATCTTGTGATTTCAAACTGTCCAAGAGTTCTTTGGAATTTTTGAGTATCCACATCTGATTCACACCACTTCTTGAATATATTGTTGCACAGTATGTATTATACAAGCTAGTTTGGTCATGGTACGACATATAATTATTTTTGAATGAACCTGCTCCCAAAACTTGAACCTTGTCACTTATCTGGAAAATTAAGTCCACTCTTTCGTTCCTTGCTTCACTCCTTTTAATACTGTCTTTATCATCAGAGTCTTCTGATCTATTCTAGGTAACACCCAGGGTCTTCTGAAACGGTTCCAATGGTCCTCGATCTTGTTTTCATTCTCATACTGTCGATCTCTTATAACACAGTAAACTTCATTTTTATAACTTGTATTTGTTTATTTTTTTGACAGTGTATTACGCATATCTTTAAAAAGTTATTATTCTTTAATTTAAATTAACAGATAAAAAGACGATCAGACAAAACATGCACCTGAATCTTTGATTCAGGGGGTATGAAAAAAGGAAAGTCTGAGAATTGTGTTTGCAGTATTTGTTTAACCTATTTTCTGTGTTACAGTTTAGGTACTTGCTTAAATAAATTACATCACATGCAATAAATATCCTTTTTAATTGCACTTGAGAACCTCTAAAAGGTCAAAATCATGATTGCTTTCAGGATTTGTTATTGCACTTGTCTTAAATCAAAGCCATGTCGTATAGTATGTTGTTTCTTTAAAAGTATTTACATTTTGTCATTTTCTACCTAAAAGTGGGAGAGATTAGGGTGGGGGGTATTCCATGTTTGTCCATCAGTCTCCCACCATTTATCGGCATAGGAACTACACTTTTAGTGCCGTTAAAGATATTCTTCAGCATTTGAATATTAAAAACTATTCTCGATTTCGGGCCTTGTCGCAGATTGACTCTTGAAGAGGAAAATGAAAAAATGTATACCAATAAATTAAGATCTATTTAATAGGTAGCAAGACTTTATCTATTAAATCTATTGAATAGTTATCCAAACCAATACCTTGGGAACATTATGAGGCTTGCATTTTCGGAAAAAAATTCTTTTAAAAACTAGGACAATTATTTAGACCAGTTTATGGTACTTAAAGAAACTGACTTTGTTATCGAACTAGGTCACAACTGACTCACAGAAATATTTTAGCTACTGTGCAAAACGTAACAGTTGTACGTGTTACAATTTTTTTTGTTTTTTTTTGTTTTTGTTTTGTTAATTAGGTTTTATCACGAAGGGAGAAAATGAAAATTCATGTAATATCATGACCCAATATGGGATACCTTTAGACTTATTTCAAAATATTGATCTTTCTACTTCGTAAATGTAAGAGGAATTCTTAAAAGCATTTTTGGGAAGAAATATGTCGCTTTCGAAACCCTTCTGTCAATGAAAATTCCGAAAATGTGAGCACAACAATCAAATTCCAAGAGTTGATTTGACTATTCCATAAAATGTAAATGAAGTTCTGTGAACCATATTTTTATTGATTTTTTTTACTAGAAGATTTTGATAAAATAAAGATGATTATTGCACATGAACAAGACATCATAATCACATTCCAAAAGCTGGACTGATTTATGCTTAAAATATAACTGTAAAATCACATATTTTCATGGGAGTCAGATTCTGGTGGTTGAGATGGAAGAAAAATCTTAGTTACATTGGGTTTTCATGTTTTAGATGAAGCAGTCCTGAGTTGTTTAAAATTACAAAATTTAAAATTTGTGAAGGACACATTAAACTCGATGAAAATCAGTTTTTATTGCAAAATAATGAGAAAAAAAGATCGATTTACGGTATAGGATAAAAATATAGTCAATATACCCAAATTTTCTTTAGAATAAACAGGTGTAATTTTAGAACCTCAATGAACAACTTGATTTACTAGTAGTATACAAATTCGTAAAAAAAATAACATGCTTTATTTATAATGAATATGCTATCAACTGACATGGGGGGAAGGGGGAGGGGGGTTCTGGCCTCAAAAAGACGTTCGATAGCTCTAATCCTCTAATCCTTTTCTTTTCATTTTAAGTGAACATGCATCTCTTTGTAATCGGTGTTGTCTGGTGGGTTTTGAAGTGTTTTAAGGACAGTACGATTGAACTTAAATTTAAATGTCTCATAAAGCTACATTATCAATACAAAATGAATTTAAGGACAAAACCAATTGCTTTCATCCTTTTGCCAT